AAACCTTAGGCCCTAAACGTAAGGCCCTGAACCCTAGGCCCTAAACCTAAGGCCCCAAACCCTAGGCCCTAAACCTAAGGCCCCAAACCCTAGGCCCTAAACCTAAGGCCCTAAACCCTAGGCCCTAAACGTATGGCCATGGGGTTCTGCAGGCTTTGGTGAAACTCGGGTGCACAAGGTGCGCTTTTGCCATGGTTCCCTCCGTGTGGCCAAGTGACACCTGCTTCCGGACCGCGAGCCCTCCCTGTTCTGCTCTGCAATGGTTGGAGTAACGCGATGAGAGACATCAGGAAGCAAGATAGCTGATGTCTTGCCATGGACACAAGCGGGGCTCAACTTCTCCGCTTCTTGGTCACGGCAACTTCTTTATGCTGCACTGGAACACCGCCAGCCCGAAAGCTTCAAACTGAAGGCCGAGGCGAATTTTCGGCTGACATACTCTGGGTTTCCTGGTTCCAGTATGCTTTACGCTCACAAAGCTGCACTTTGACATAGGTGCCTGCCAAACTGAGGAAGCGTGGGAACTGTCTCTGCTGTAGCTCACTGTTTGTGAGCACGATGCTTATTCGGGCTGCTCTGGTCCGAATGTTCGCACTGAGCGAAGATTCTGACCTCAGCGCCATGACACTGCTTTTCTTGTGGACTGCCCGCGGCATTTTGCTGATGAACGTGGCGGATCACAGCCAGGAATTCATGTTGTCGGGAATTCATACTTACAACATGGTTGGGGACGGGCTTTCTGTGCTGGAGGGCCCCAATTGCCTTTGTGCTGGATCCTTGAAGGGACCATGGCAGGCTGCAAACTTTGTGGTGTAGCTGGATCAAGAGGATGCTGCAAAACTATATGGTGTAGCTGGATCGAGAGGATTTCTGCGAAACCTTGGCACCACAGGTTTTTGTGTTCGAGATGAACCTTCGTTTTCGCAAACTCTACAAAGAGAGTGAGTGCGTTTGAGTGTGAGTCAACAAGCCACTTGCACCTCGAGCGAGTAATTGACTGGAGATTGGCTGGAGTGTGAGTCAACAAGCTACTTGCACCTCAAGCGAGTAATTAGCCGTGAAACTCACGGCTTTGTTCAGCAGTTCAACCAAGACACCCTGCAATGCGGGCTTCGTCCTTGCTAGGTAGGAGGGAAAAAAAAAACGTATGGCCTAGGGGAGGGGGGGGGAGGGGCTGAAAATCGGGCAGCATTTCCTTCCCCCAAGCATGCCGGTAGAAAGGGGAAAAAAAGAGGAAAAAACGCAAACCTCAACCGTAGAAAAAGGTAGAAAAAGGTAGAAAAACTAAGAAATGGGGCATACCGTGTGTGTGTGTGCACAAATGAAAAAAAATGGTGTTGGGAACCAGGCATGTCTTGACAGACAGGCAGAAACCGGAAGATTTTGGAAGAAAATTGGAGAATTCCGACGAATCTAGAAGAATTTAGAAGAATTTAAAAGCATGCAGCAGTCTTACGTAGAACAGGGAAGACTACAAGGCTTGCTCCAGACACTCGCACCAAAAGCATTTGCATGAATTTTGCATAAAAAAACAAAAAAAATTTCCTCGCTTCGCGAACATCCATATTTGTTTTCAACTCTAGTACTCCACACACACTACAAGGCTTGCTCCAGACACTCGCATCAAAAGCATTTGCATGAATTTTGCATAAAAAAACAAAAAAATTCTTCGCTTCGCGAACATCCATATTTGTTTTCAACTCTAGTACTCCACACACACTACAAGGCTTGCTCCAGACACTCGCACCAAAAGCATTTGCATGAATTTTGCATAAAAAACAATAAAATTTCCTCGCTTCGCGAACATCCATATTTGTTTTCAACTCTAGTACTCCACACACACTAATTACAAGGCTTGCTCCAGACACTCGCACCAAAAGCATTTGCATGAATTTTGCATAAAAAAACGAAAAAATTTCCTCGCTTCGCGAACATCCATATTTGTTTTCAACTCTAGTACTCCACACACACTACAAGGCTTGCTCCAGACACTCGCGCCAAAAGCATTTGCATGAATTTTGCAAAAAAAACAAAAAATTTCCTCGCTTCGCGAACATCCATATTTGTTTTCAACTCTAGTACTCCACACACACTACAAGGCTTGCTCCAGACACTCACACCAAAAGCATTTGCATGAATTTTGCATAAAAAACACAAAAATTTCCTCGCTTCGCGAACATCCATATTTGTTTTCAACTCTGGTACTCCACACACACTACAAGGCTTGCTCCAGACACTCGCACCAAAAGCATTTGCATGAATTTTGCATAAAAAACAAAAAAAATTCCTCGCTTCGCGAACATCCATATTTGTTTTCAACTCTAGTACTCCACACACACTACAAGGCTTGCTCCAGACACTCGCATCAAAAGCATTTGCATTAATTTTGCATAAAAAAAAACAAAAATTTCTTCGCTTACGCGAACATCCATATTTGTTTTCAACTCTAGTACTCCACACACACTAATTACAAGGCTTGCTCCAGACACTCACACCAAAAGCATTTGCATGAATTTTGCATATAAAAACAAAAAATTTCCTCGCTTCGCGAACATCCATATTTGTTTTCAACTCTGGTACTCCACACACACTACAAGTCTTGCTCCAGACACTCGCACCAAAAGCATTTGCATGAATTTTGCATAAAAAAAAAAAAAAAAAAAAAAAAAAAGAAAAACAAAAAAAAAAAAAAACAAAAAAATCAAAAAATTCCGCATTTCCCGCTTCGCGAACATCCATATTTGTTTTCAACTTAGTATCTCCACACGCACCTACAAGGCTTGCTCCAGACACTCGCACCAAAAGCATTTGCATGAATTTTGCATAAAAAAACAAAAAATTTCATCGCTTCGCGAACATCCATATTTGTTTTCAACTCTAGTACTCCACACACACTAATTACAAGGCTTGCTCCAGACACTCGCACCAAAAGCATTTGCATGAATTTTGCATAAAAAACAAAAAAAATTTCCTCGCTTCGCGAACATAGCAAAGGGTTTCAATTTTCCACACACATAGTCTATTACTCTGTTACTCCATTACTCTATTATTCTATTACTCTATTACTCTATTACTCTATTACTCAAATACTCTAGTACTCTATTAGTCTACTATTCTATTATTCTATTACTCTATTACTTCACTACTCGATTACTCATATTTGTTTTCAATTATAGTACTCCCACAAAGTGGGTGTTTTCACCCAAACCCTAAACCCTAAACCCTAAACCTTTAAACCCTGAACCTCGGAAGTTGGCACCCTAAACTTTGTGGGCCCCGAAGCTGACCAATACTAGACCTAGAATCTTTAAACCCTAAACCTCGGTGTTCCATTTTGGCAGGTCCTCGAGCCGTGCCAGGAAGCCTAAACCATGAGCCCTAAACCCTAAACCGTGTTTAAGCCTCGAATTGAAACCCTCACATAATTCGCATTTCTGCCACAATCTTCCAAATGATTCGTTTTTCTTCAATAATCTTCCAAATAATTCGTTTTTCTTCAACAATCTTCCAAATAATTCGTTTTTCTTCAACAATCTTCCAAATAATTCAACAATCTTCTCAAATCTTCGGTAGTGGCTGAGAAGTACCCCTGCTGAGAAGTACCCCTAGGCTCATGAATGATCTCTTCTCGTGAGAGCAGACAGCGATTAGTGGAGTTCTTGTCGGCGCCGGGTCGTGCAGAAGGCTGGCGATTGCCCAGTGTGCCCAGGTCCTTTTTTTGCTCAGACTCGTGAGGTGCGCTCCGGGCTTCTCCGCCGAACTGTGGAGAATCTCTTCAATGACCTTCTAGCTAGGCCTTAGGCTATGCGAGGGTCGTACATCTAGCTTTGGACTTGCTGTCCAGTTTCCGGTCTAGAGTCTTGATATCTTCATCTTTTCGTCGGCTCGGCATTTCCCCGCACGTGCTGTTTTTTTCTGTGTGGCACGGCACCTTGCAGTAGGCCATAAACTGTGCGCGACTTCTGAAGCAGCTGAGCCTCCAACAAGCTTGCCAAAGATTTTCCACAAATTGGCCAGAGTCGGCCAGCGCACCTCCACGAGATTACGCGGATGCCAAGACTTGCAGGTGGGTGGGTTGGCTGGGCATGGCTGGGCTTACGACCCACTTCGTGTTTTTTGTTGCACCTAGTGACATTTGGCGGCCCGCGGCTTGCCTTCAAGCTGTCTACTCACTCGCCGAGCAGGAGGGGCTCCACTCCCACAGTAGTGAGCTGTGGAGCTGATGCGAAATCTTGCTGCGCAGTGCAGCCGATCGCCCCTTGTAGCTTTTGCCAGGCAAAATGTGCATTTATCAGCTTTCAGAGGTTGTTGATGCAGTGGAACCATTCCGTTGCTCTTGGACCTGGAAGGGCGGTTGAGCACGGCGCTTGGGCAGCCGATCCCTCGAAAAACTTCCTTCGTTCGTCCTGACAGACGGTCCTTGCACATTTCTTTGCTGAGCTGCTGACTGTTAGCGTGTGTCGGAGTACCGTTTCCGAGGGCGGCTGCATACGAGTCAGCGAAGGGCCATATTTGGTACAGATTCGTGGCCGCTTTGTCGACCTCGTGCCTCAAGACGTGTCATGTTGCATATTCTCTTGGCAGATCCAATTTTCCAATTTTCTGCTTGTCTGCCACATGTGTGGCGGCTGAGCCTCGTAAGGATCATCGGTCCCCTTGGAAACCTGGTAGGTATTCTCGGAAACTCAGCAGTGCCTACCTTCAGAGGTCTGGCAGGGCATGCGAGAGAACTCAAGACTTCCGAAGTATGAGATTTTGTTTGTTGTTGCAGCGGAGCTAGCTTTGTGCAGGCGTGGGGCGTCCGTGTAATGGTTGGGCCACCGGGACTGACAATGCCAAACCATGCACAGCTGCTGAGGGAACGGCACAGAGCAGGACAAAACCCTGCGAAGAGTAGCTCTCGAGCCTTCTCCTGCCAAAGGGTATCCGTGATCTCTTTTGGCTCGTCATTACTCCGTTATCTGTAATATGAGGGGATTGAAAGTGGACGGGTCGACAATATGTTTGGAGCTTTGCAGAAGAAGGCTACCGCCGGTCAGGATACAGCTGAAAGCCTGCAAAGACCTCCAGACAAATTGATGCACAGGCCACTTCGGTTGAAAAATGCATGTCATGCCGGCGCTACTCTGTGTTCTCAGCACAGCGACTGGATGCATTGCTGTGGCAGTCCTGCGCTGAATGCGAAGCTCGATCACCACGACTCGTGAGCGATAGCAGAGTGCCGGTCCGTGCTTGCCAGCTTCGTAGTATCCGCACCTCGCACGACCTGTGTCAGTCCATTATATTGCGTGGCGCCCTCCCGCATGAATGACATTCAGGCCACAGGCCGCTAAGCGGCACAGCAGCCCGGAAATCTTGCTGGGACCAGTATAAGCCCCACGCCCAGAACCACGGAGACACTGCACTAAGACACTCTGAGTCTGAGAATCACAACGACGCAGCCATGTTATGCAGCCTGCTGAGCAGCACCTGGGCTACGGCCACCTGCTTGGCACTGGGTCTTTGGCGCATGGCTGCTGGCGCGAGGGGCAGAGGGTAGTGCGGCCATTCCTGTAACCGGCAAGAGCACCAAAGAGATGAGAGGCAGCACGAGGCATAGAACGGACCGAGAAGCATACAGAAGCAATGTGTGCACTTGCGCATGCTACGGCCGTGTCCTTCATCACCCATATGCCATATCACACATGCACATGGCTGAAATGCAAGTAGGCCCATGCGGCGTTATTGCACGTAGGCTTTCCGGCCTGCTGTGGAGAGGACGGGGATGAAAGGGTTTGTATACATCAGTGATGCCTCCTTCAGGACCCACAAACATAGGCGCACCACGGCACATCTGTTCACTATCCTTTCATCTTGGTGAGCTTTTCTCGAGGAGTGGTTCCAAGTGGCGATGGCTCAGCTTAATCGACGCTCTGCCGATTTTTGCTCACTCATTTTAGTGTCGAGCTTCTACCTACGATATCTTAAAATCCAACCAACACTGCGCAGGTGAAGTTGGCAAGACAAGATGTGGGCGAGTGCAGGTGTGGTGCTGGTCAGATGTGGGTTTGTTTAGGCTTCACACCATCTTTCATCTCGTTCCAGCCCTGCCGTAAGTGTCAGAGACGCACAACTGTCGACTATCAATTATCAGAATGGGCCCGTGAAAAGCAGAGAGTCTGGGAGAAATCAAAACGGTCGTGATACATGTGTCGGCTTGGTGCCTTGGCGGTTGCTTCGTTGACTTTCGTGTCAAATGGACGTCCAGCAAGCGCCTGAGCCAGGTTGATTTCTCGCAAATCGGGAATCCAATGACGCACAGCTTGGCGCTGTTTGTGCCTTCGACACGCCTTGGGTTCTCAGACCAGTTTGGCTAGTGACCCGTGCAATCCACAGAAAAGGAAGAGTGATAACCTTTGGATGTCTGTGGTCCTACAGAGACAGCTGAATGTCAACTGTGCCGCATCTGCGCTCCATGCGCGTCCCTGCGGCAAGGTGCAGCTGTATGCCCGGCGGCCACTGCTGCCAAGAAACGTCTCCTTCACCTTAATGTGGCTTGGTTTACGGGGTGGGGCTGCGGGACTTCGTATATCTAACAGAGCCGTGACAGACTAAGGAGATATGTCATATACAATGCGCGTCTGGTCGACATGTTCTGCCCAGTGCTACTGCCTCTGGTGCAGTACTTGCAGGCAAGCAGGGCGTTTTAACGGCAGGTCAGTTGTCTCTTGCTGAAAGAGGAGTGCATCAGTGTGAGTGAGGTGCTTCTCCATGGTGGGGCCTCACCACACCTGTACAACGTGCTTGTCATGAATTAAATACAGCAGCGGCGCGAATGTCAACGCATGAAACCTGCGTGCACAAAGACTGGGCCGAGTGAGTAAGACCTGTCCACCTCCACATGTAGGAATTTTGGATAAATCGCCAAAATTGGCTTCAAGCATCGCTGTAACATGTTGGTGTGACCTGCAGCTGCTCTCGTCTACAGGCCGAGATATCACTGCTGTCAGCGTCTCCTGGGCAGATATTGAGCAAGCTTGACATTTTTTGGTCGGTCGAGATCGCATGGAGAAGCCAGCGACTGGACGAGGTCTGCACGCCTTGCAGACTTTCTGATCTCCGAGGCTGCCAGGTTTATCCGTGGAAGCGCCTGGGCGGATAGTGAACCACATCCTGGCATCGGCAGCTGTTCACGAGAAGGAGGTGCAATTTCTTGAGCTGACTCGTTCGACATGTACGCTGCTTCATGTCTACAGCTTTACTTGGGGACTTTGCTTTCTGTTTGGAAGGCTTATTGCACTCGGCGAAGTCAAGCGCGACGCCAATATGCCTCCTGGCTTGTTCCACTACCTCCAGCCAATTGTCCGCAGAAGTTCAAACTCGTCGCAGGGTCCTTTGGGCCAGTCTTTGCTGACCCAGGCCCGGGAAGGGAGAAGCAGCGAGCTGGGCTTGCGGTATCTCGTGTAGCCGGGCTACGCAAACAGTCACTGTTTCACGACGTTTGGTCGCTTTTGCGGAAGATCCGACCCTGGTGGCAATCTATGCTGTGCCATTTCGCAGCACCTAGGACCTCGGATGCGGTTCCTGCATTGTAGGCATGTGGTTGCGGGTTTGTTCTGGCATTGCTCGCGAGGCGAAGCTGCGCATTCGTCGATTTCAGGCTTATGTCCGCAGCCCAGGCGACGATGCCTTTGTCTGCTAAGTCTGCTATGCTGCATGCGGTTCAGGACAAGACTCTCTTCTGCTTTCTACCGCACCATCTGCTAACAGCAAGAGCAGCTCCGGCTGTTATGTCACTATGTCTGCCCTGGAGGTCCCTGGTTCAAACCAACGTGGGCAGGCGACGTTGATGTCAGATTGGCGCTTACGTGGCACGTCGGTTTGAAGGCCTCGCACAGGGCATCACAGGGCTAGGAGTTTGGTGAAATTGTTTTTTGGAAGGTGGTGTGCTAGCACAGTTGCCGTGTAGGATCCTTCGATATGCGTGTTTCGCCTTCGAGCATACGAATACACGGAAGAACGTCGACGTGCCTGGAAAATCTAGTTAGATTCAGACCGTATGCCTCGACCAGGAAACTCCTGTTTCCAAGAACTTCTCCGCTGGTGCCATGCAGCTTGGCAGTGAGCGGAGTGGGACGCCACAATCCTTGTCACCGTGTTCGCTCTCTAACTGCTCTTTGGGACATGTGCACATATCCGAACGACCTTGCACACGTGTCTCAAGCTGAGCACTTCCGGCAGGATCCGGTGTCACTCATGCTTATTTGGAGCCTATATCTGCTCACATTAGTGTAGAAATCAACACGAACAACTTGTCCTGTCCAACCCCGGAGACAAGAATTAGCAAACATTGGGCGCTCTTTGAAGATTGCCTGGATGGTGATTTCAGCCAGCACAAGTCATAGAATCTATCATAGATATGTGGCACGTTTTCGTCCGAAGTTCTCAGAGTAGCAGAGTAGCCGTTCAAACCCAGGTTCGGGCCACAGGCTATGTGGATGGCTTCCAGCGTGCCGTTGTGGGAGCAGGACTTCACTCCACGGGAAATGGGGAGACCGGGGCTAGGCTTTTGTGTTTCCGAAATGTGTGCGGCTCCAATTCACGGCATCAACCCCCCCGCCCCCGGTTGCAAGTTCGCCACCTCACAGGCGTTGCTGTCGGTAGCTCGGGCGTTGACCTTCTTGCGGGACAGATGCTCGCTTGGCAGCTTGAAGACTGATGGTACTGCCTGTGCAAAAGTCTCTTGCCTTTGTCGTAAGAAGATTATGTAGAAATCATGTGTTTCGCTATACGGTATACTGCACCGAACATGGCAAGTGCATCCCTGTCCTTGTTCCAACCATTGCAGTCGGCCGTTCCTTGCTGTAAAGGCGAGGGCTTCCCTGTGATCAGGCAGTTGAAATTACATGTCGTCTAAGGATGGAACGCTGCAAATCCGATCAGGCATGGGACCTATTGAAATTTTGGTTCCAGGAGCTTAAACGTCTCTGTCATGAGCCACCCCCACCCGCAGATTTATGTCGTGCGCAGGTTCTTCTTCACAGGTGGTACGCTGTTGGCTCTTCTGCGCTATGGCACTGTGACCTGGGATGCTGGAGAAGGCAAAATCGACTTTGTTGATAAGGACCCTTGTGCTTGGGCATTGTTTGTGCTTGTTGCGTGTTGGTGGATAAAACAAAACCACGCCTGAAGTGTGCGATGAGTGTTTGATTGATGCCTATGTTGGACCGCTGCCGACCGTTTGTGTAGGGTCGATGCATTACGAGGACTTGTGCTGCCTTGGTGTATTGATACACATCCTCCTCAGCAGATGTTACTCTAGTCCTGCCCAAACTCCTAGTTTGGGCATGCGCACATACACATATCATAACTCGGGAGCTACTATGCCACTACCCGTTGCATCTGCTGGTGATGTTTCGGCATGTCTCCTGCTTTGCGGAAGCATTTCCAGGATGTGGATGTCCTCATTCTGGCAGACTCGGCGCTCGCGTGGTGGAAGGTTGGGAGAAATCAGTCCCCGGTGAGACGCGCAGTCTGAAGTGATTTTTTCTTGACCGAGCCGTGTGATAGGCAACAGCCCACACCACGCGCGAAGGCCATAGCGGCCCTCACGGCTGAGCTCGAGAATGACGGCTGGACAGGCCGGTATTTAGTTTCCTGTCGGAGCAGTCCTCCGAAACATGGGAATCGCTTCAGCAATGTTAGGGTGTCTGGAGGCTGAAAGCATGCTGTTCTGAGTTTCACCGTACTGTGCCGCCAGGCTGCTCCTTGCTCATGCGCGACTCGTCAACTTTGCCACATGAACTCGAGGCGGCTCTTCTAGCTAAGATGCTTCACTACATCGTACATACTGCCGCGCAAGAAGTGGCTGGGCAGAGAACTCAATAAATGGGCCAGTTCAGTTTTAACCATGTGCAACCCGTCGTGCACCCAGACGTCTACAAGTCACAGAACCGGAAGTGCTGCACTTGAGATTGCTAACAGAAGCAAGTCCGGCCAGGTTTCGCAGCTTGCAGCGAGCAAGGGGACCACTCTTTTCTCCCGCGGCGTGGCCGCGCCTGAGACCTGAAAGTTGGACACTTGCTCGTAAATCTTCGTAAGTTCCCTGGGCGCCTGCGAGTATTCCTGTCCAAGAGTCTTTGGACATGTCCGGACCGAATCAGGCCTCAGATGAATCAAATCCAAAATTGCGAGGCACGACCCCAGGAGAAGTGAGAAAACGATGTACATCCCCGAAGTTTGCACACAAGTGAAAACCGACTTCTGAAACCGAAAGACTTAGTTGTATGCTCGTAGAAGAAGTCTGCTCGCCAGCCAGCATACAAGAGTCTTAGCGTCGGCTGGAGTTAGAGGGCCTGAGGGATGGAGATGAGATGGGGCGTTCTCAACTTGCGGGTAGTAGTTGCATGTTTCCGTGGTTCCACTTTGCGACAGATTTAACTTGGCTGCGGACCTGCCGTGCCGGTGGATTCCATGACGCTAGTCTGAGTAAGGAGTTGGCTTGCGCTCTGATGGGAAAAGATTCCCGAACCTTGCGATCTGCTTTGGTCCCTTTCAATGCAGTTTCTTGGCCTGACTGGCAAGACAATGTCGCCGGGATGCTGCTTGTTACCTTGGCTATCGGCTTGCTGCTGTTACCACTGCCCACCATGCCAAGGTTTGGGTGCAGGCCTTCGAGTTTGACAGGCTGGAGCGCCGCCGCCGTTGGTATCGTCAAGTGCCTCTGAGCAGCTTAAACTCGCATGCGTCTACAGACGTGCTCATGAATTCGGTTGCATTGAAAACTTGCCATGCTGAGCGGGCATACGGTCCTGTGCTGCGCAATTGTTTCCTGTATTCGTACATGCATTCGCCGCCGGTGGTAGCAAGGTGCCGTTTCTGTCGACAGCCGCCTCGGTGCTGGCATCTAGCCCAGCCTGCTCACCAGCAGATGGACAGTGCCCTTCATCAGAAAATTGCAGCACATCTTTCTGTTGCTAGCCCGTCGATGTCGTTCGAGGGAGGCTTAGTGCTGTGCAGTTGACAAACACACTGACTGTTACCTAGATCTCAATTGAGGCGTCCTGCTGGGAGGATTCCCTTTCCAAGCATGGAGAGGCGCATTACCAGTGAGTGTGCCGCGGCTGCATCCATAGCAGCCGCACCTCCAAAATGCTGCCTTGCTTGCATTGGGGCTGAGGTCCTCCTACCGGATTCCAGTTGTGTTTTCGTCCCGGAGGCAAGGCTTCACACATTGGGTGCATGCAGGCTTCGCGGTTGATATGTCGTGTTTCCTGGTCTCGTACCAATCCTCGTGCCGTTTTTAGCCTTTTCTTCTCCATTCTCATGCTTTCAGTGCCGTCCTGAAGCCGTTTTGTCCTTTTCCACAAAGAATAAGGGTGATGTTCTTGATATTGATTCGCAAACGCTGCTGCAAAGCACTGTGGTCTTGCATTATCAACCTAATCATGAGGTTGTCGTTAGTCGGTCTTCCGGTGAACTTCGTATGTCGGTTATGAAGTGAGGAAACCAGTACGTCAAATCACTCCCCAGACTCTCTGATCGAAATCTGAAGGCCAATACTTCATTCAACAGGCTCGTTGACATGACATGGCTTGTCTAGGTAGTGCAAATGGAGCTGCAGTTTGCTGTCTCAGTGTCGTCAGTGCTGACGACAGATCGTGCACTTCCAGAAGTGCCAGCACGCATGAAAGCCAATCTTTCAACCCTCGCTTTCAGCATCATCATACGGTTGACAAACCATCAGTGGTCAGGCACCTTCGACTTCTTCCATGAAATACTTGCCAACCGGCTTGTCCAATCCAGCATTGGGGCTGCCAGCTCTTCTCGGTGTTGTGCCGAAACTCAGTCTTGAGCCTGCAGGGCTCAATCACAGCTTCCAGGCCTTTGCTGCAGTGCAACAGTTCTCAACCAATCCACTCGGTCAATCCTTTGTGTACTCATGAGTCGGTGCAGTCCAGTCTGGAGCCGAATCATATTTGCGAGTGGGACACTTGCCATAACACCGACGAACTACGACTCGTTCGGCAGTGCAGGAGGCAATGGCAGACACACACACACACACACACACACGCGCGCGCGGTTGCGCATAATCATGTGCGGATTCACCGGCACGCTATATATATATATATATATGTATACAAATAAGTATACGCACATATATACCTACTCTTTTGTTTACTTACGTAGTAAATTATTCAGTTATATCTTATGTTTATATCACATCAGATACACACATGCACGTACACGCTTGCCTACCTACCTACCCACACCTATCCACCTACCCACCTAACCACCTACATGCATACATGCACGTGCGTGCTAAATGGCTTGTTTTAATCGTAGGACAGTGTGACATTGTGGACTCTTTCCGTTCCCTCCGTCTTGATGGTACTTTGGGATCAGTTTTGGCTTTCAATAGATTTTCGTCTGTGTCAACTATCTTCACTACTTGATGCTTTAATCCGATTGTTTAGGAGTGCTGACCTGAGCCCGTAGAGCTTCGGAGGTAGGTGTCTCGGGCTCTGGTCCTTTAAAATAGTAGAGGGTAAATGTCCGGCAAATATCGCCGACCGTGAGGGAGGGCCCTGGGTGGATGCATGGTTTCCCTTGTGCGAGTTGCGAGCGTCGAGATGGATGGAGATTGTTAAGGTCCCCGTCAACTCTGCTCAAAACGGTCTTTTGGCAAGCTTGAAGCCACATTTCGTCGTTGTGCTGCTGCACACAGAACCATCCTAGTGTCAACAACACTTTTCGAGTTTCTACTGGGGAGGGCCCCCTTGTTAATATTACAGCAGAGTTTTGTGATTACTGCAGGGCTTGATGCATCCATTTGGGCAGGTGAAGAGTGCCGCTTTCTCTATGGTCATGTGTGCCTCTCTGTGAAAAGTATGAAAGCGCACGGATACACATGTGATTGCCGTGCGTGCACTTTGGTTCAGTACCGTACTAGTGGGTGTTGTTATTTCATTCCTTGGTTTTTCTGCAGATCTCCGCCGGTCAGGCCCCGCTCGTCCGGCAAATACTCGGAGTCAATGACGCGGTCAAGTATGCAAAGGTCGTGCTACTTGGTAGCGCGAAGTGTGCAAAGTGTGACCCAGGTGCCGAACTGCAGTAGGCTTTGTAAGATCCTTAAACGGAACCGGTTGAGATGTTTGTGCTTTGGACATCTCCGCATCCCGCTCCCGCCGTGACTATTTGGAAGCAGACTGAAATGGTGAAGTTTCGAGTTTTGCATCGCTTGTCTCAGGCTTCCGTGTCCAAGGGCTTCTGTTTCTCGACCGCAGAGAATGCCGGGGGAACATTCGGAGCGCAGACGATGGCAAAACTGTGAATACCCCGGAGCCCTTGAGCCGAAGCAAAGCTGCAGCTACTTCTCACTTGGTGGGGTACGCGTGGATTCATATACTTTCCATGGGGCCATCGCGGCGATATTTCGTTCGATTGAAGTGGTGCGAGCCGAGGTACAGTTGCTACGTGCCCGGTTTGCACTGGAAGCTTGTGTTTGGTCAAGCCAGTTGCTGCCAACATGGAGCAGCTTGAGTTTGAAGATGCATCGTTACTGTACGAACTTTGTCGGGCTTACAAGTGGCAGGCCGTCCTTGGGCCCAACAACTGTTTGTTGTTGAAATTCTAGACTGCCCGCCTAGTTAGAGCACATCGTGTTTGCATCTGAAGGTGGCGATGAGATTGTACAGTCTGCTTGCACCTAACTTACTGAGAGCCGGGATGCAAGATGCGGAGTACTGAGTGCAAGAGTTACGTGCGGCATGATACTAGATGATTGCAAGGCTTTGAGCCCATGGCCCATGCCTTCATTATTGCACTCTTGAAGCCCTTCCCATCCTGATTTTGACAGTCCCGAGATGCCACAGCGCACAGGCTGGTACGATCGCGGAGAGCTCTGGGGGCGCGTCAGTGGTCGGCCCTGTTTGGCGCTGCCACTGGTGGTTGAGCCACGACTGCAGCTGCGGTTTTCTTTCCTGCTCGTGCACGCGGCAGCCCCGGAATTTTTGTTTAATCCTGCAGGCCGCATCAACCATCTCCAATAAAAGTCCGTATCTCTGCCGTGCTTCCTGCGATGTTCTTCCTGAGCTTCGAAGGAGCACGACAGAGTCAACAACAACGCAACAGCCCGGTGCCAAGCCGGTAGTGTGGAGGAGTTGCTCGCCATGTGGGGGACACAGTGCGAGCGTTGCTGGAGCTGCTGGGGCTTCCTACTGAGAGATGGGAGGGAAGGGCACCTCTCCAAGCACCAGGCCAAGCTGCATCAACGGGGACTTTCAGCCCAATCGACGAGTTTGATCCACAGCCCCTTGGTGTTTGACAATGCTCGGTGGACGTGCTTGGCTGATGAGCCATACGTCCAGGCTTATGCATTCGGTGGCTGTATATGGAGTTGTCATGGAGTGGCGTCCATCCGCCACTGCATCGAACAGTGTGAAGCGTGCCTGTTGAATTCAAACGCCTCGACAGCTTGCTGTAGAGTTGCAGGGTGCCACCAAGATTCCTGAGACGTGTACTTGCCAGTTTTTTAGCGCACGCGAGCACACACCCTGAGGCCGCATGCGACTTCTGGTGACTTGGCAGCTTTGGACCATCAACCATTGCACTAAGCAGAGAACGACAACCGTCGCACCGCAAACATTTGTTATGAATCGAAAAGGCTCCCAGAATTGCCGGAATGGGAAGCCAAGGAAAGGCTTGGCGGGGCCAGTCTTGCAGCAGACCTTTCGCATCTCGGCAAGTGTGGAAGGGCGAGATAGCATGGCGTTCGTATCTTTTGGCCACAGATTTCGGTGCCGTGTTGCGGGATTTGCGGACATGACCTTCCGAGGAACTGTACTTTCCGTGCTGATGGCAGCTATCAGGCAGGGAGAGAGTGAGTCGAGTGATCGATGCATTGGCGAACCAGGGTTAGTGCCCCGATCCCGCGGTGATCCTTTAAAGGGATAGCAATTGAACCCGACCTTCTGTATCCTTCTGTTGTGCTCTGCGGGATCCTAGCTGCAGCTGGGTGAGGGAGTTGGGCCCGGGATCAAAGCGCGTGCAGCCTGCATGTAGGTTGCGGTTGTGCCTCTTGTTTCTGTCCTGGTGAGTCGCTGCAGACCGGATGCAAAAAAAGCCTGCATGTAGGCGTGATTAGGCGTGCCAAGCATACCTCGAACATTTCCGATGCCTCCCTCGGTGATCTAGCAGAAAGACGTCAGGTGTCATTCTCAATGTTCAAGGGCTCCTTGAACCACGAAGCCGACGCTTGGAGAAGCTCATACACTGGACGGCAATACAGAGGATTCTCGCAGGATGCTAGCATCTAGCTCTCTTATGCTCTCTTGCAGGCACGATGTAATTATGTGTATATCATTGATTCTATCGGGTATGTGTGCATTCGCAGCAGGCAGGGACATCACAAGTGCAGCAGCCAAGGATTGTCCCCCCAACCTGCACCTGGGCAGCACCGTGGACTGGCGAAGTCCACCGGACTGTCCCGATCGTGTGCAGGTGGGGACTGCAGCAGGTTCACTTCAAGAGTAAATTCCTACTGTAGCTTGGTGGCACGTGCTAGCGGATGCTTAGCTGCGTAGCTACGTTAAGAGCACGGCCGTGTCACCTCCAGAGGCCAGTTGCACATGAACAAGTCTTTCTCGCCACCTGTGAGGAGTACAATGATTGGATGCTCTCCAACGTTAGCTATGTTTGGCACCCTCGTGGCTATCAACTTCATCGGGCGCATTATGCTGCCGTGATGCGGGCGGGTGGCAGCGAAGAAAAGGAGTGCAGACGGCTGGCGGCCAATGTTTGCATGTCCACACAGTGGAGCCCATATTTCATTGTCCACATCACATACAGCCAAGACTTGACAAGAAAGTGCTCACCAGCGTGTTTGTTAACAGGCTGGTGATTGATGGGTTTCGGGTTTCTAAACGTCAACTTATCTGTCAATTTGACCGAGCCTGGATAGAAGACGATGCCACTGTTGTTGGTATTGACCCCTTCCCCTCAAACGTCGTAATTCGCAGTGATATCATGGGATTCCACTGTCATGTCTGTTCTTCATGAATCATAGGCCCATGCCATAAGTCCAGGGAAAGGTTGGCAACTTATTCTCAAGTAGGTTTACACAGTCCCAAAATGTCCCAAACTTGGATAGGAGTCGATTTTATGTTCTGATTCAGGGCCAGTGGCAGATAACTGTCAAACCGGTATTTGCACAAGCACTTGTGCCACCCCCGGAGCACTTCTTGTCAACACCATCGTATCAGCAGCCTTGGGTGTTCATTGGGCCACAAGGGCAGACGAATCGCAGGAGACTTGCCCTTGATACTCGTGTTGACTGGAAGATACATGCTCGAGGAAAGCCACACAATGCCCAATTGCCATGTTGTGCCTCGGGTGCAAATCGCAGCTGGCCAAAGTGGACGACCTGTGCTTTTACCACAAAAACGAGCGTGGCTGGCTGCACTTAGTCCACTTCAAACTTCAGCTCTCCCACCATGCAGAGATTGAAGTCAAGGTGAGCGGTGAAATGGGGTTTGCAAACTCGGGCATGATCAGGCAGCGCAATCACAGGTGACAGGATGCACAGCAGTATATAGGCTCCCGAGAGCCTCCTCGAGCGTGCGGAAGGCAAGAGCGAGAGGGGCTGGAAAGAGGGGCAGGGAACATTCAAGCTGGAAGATCCGGATCATCCGGACTCATGTCCCGTGAAGCAAAGATAGGAGAGGAGGGGGAGTCATTTCCTGTCATTTGACTTTGCGGAAAGAACGAGGGGCTGCTCCTGTAAGACTCTAAGCCCTGTTGAAGAAGAGACCAGCTGATACTTAGTTAGCAACTCGGAGAAGGTATGGAGACTTGGGCAGTTCCTTGTCTCCTCCAGAGCTCCGAAGTCGGGTGGGCGAGTGGCCCTCGAAGCACAGAAGAAGAGACAGAGAGAGCCGCCTGGTACCTTGTATAGTGAGTATAGTGAGGGTGCCCACATGTCCAGGTCTGCGTGCGAGCTTTTTAAAGGGATGCGGCAGGGCCAGGTCCAAGGCAGGAGGTGAATGAAGCGCAAGTGAGGGGAGAGGGGTTGGGCAGACTCATGCTTGCAGCTGTCGGGGCTGCCCTGGTGCTTCGGTTCTTGGTTTCTCGTGGCAGCAGCCTGAGTTTCATGTCAACTGCAGGCAAGCTGCATGGCGCCCCTCCAGACATGCTCAAGCCTACATAAGATTACATAAGCCTACCGAAAGAAAGACCTCAGAAAGTCTGCAAAGTGTTTGGGCTAGCACGTGTTTGTGAGTGTCTCCGTGTCTGTCTCGGTGTGTTTGATTGCTAGTGTTCCCTTGTTTGTTTGCTTGCTTGCTTCCTTGGTTAGTTGTTTGTTTGTGTGTAATTGTGTCTCGGTCTGTCTGTCCGTCCGTCGGTCTGTCTGTCTGTCTCCCTCATTCTCTCTCCCTTTCTCCCTCCCTCCCTCGCTCTCCCTCTGTGCACATGTGCATCTTTGTCTGTCTGTCTGCACGTCCATGTCCCATTTTCAGTCTGCGGCTGCCAAGGTGAGGTTCACCTGATCTTCCGCCCGGAATGCCGCTACGCCCTGGATACGTCCATGGTTGTGCAGGAGCCTGCCAAGAAGAAGGCCAAAGTGACCTGCAGGAGTTGCAATCAAGGCGTGGCATCCGAGCTTCCATTCGGTCCGAGCGGTGCGCCGTTTGTTGGCTTTGCTTCGGATGCTGTCGTAGTACTGAATACGTTTCTGAGCAAGAAGCAGAAGTGGAGCCTTGTTTGCCGTGATGAACCATTCCGGAGAATAGAGAGCCGCGGCGACGATGATTTCTTCGGCCGGACCGTACAGGCAGCAAACCCAGGGCCGCCCGAAAGTTCTGCATACCCCGATGCGCGACTTGGCGAGGCTGCTGCAACGAAGTCGAATGCAGACGTGCGATTCGCTGATCATTTGGACGACTTTTCATGGCAGGGCCTGACTGACACCTGGCCACGACCGTATCAGATACAAGCTTTTGTGGAAAGTCTTGCTCGGGATCTCCTTGTGATCTTCCCGACGGGCTGCGGCAAGACGTTGGTGGCTTCGCTGCTTCTGGCTCGTATGGCACGACTGAATCGCGATCGCTCCTTGCCGAAGAACCGATGTGAGTATCTGTCAAGCTGTCCTTTCACGAAAGTTTGTATGTTGCTGGGGTAAATCAACTTCCATTAAACAGACTATACCAAATAAAGACAAAGAACGACAAAACTTCATCACCAACAGCGACGCCGACACACGAGAACGGCAATAACCGCATGAAGAACAGGGACAATGACAAAACCATACAAAGTAAATTAATCGTAACACAGTAACCGCTGCACACAAGACTGTAGACGGTAGCATATATGCAAGAGCGTTTTGTGCTTGGCTGAATGACCAGAAGTATGAGCCTTCAACTACTATAGTTGATGTTGTGACCGTGATCCTGCTTACCTGTGGTAGCTGACTGTTAAAGTTAAAGCACAGGCTATATACCAAACACTCCCCGAGCTTGCCCCTGCCGCGCCTCACAGCTGGGTTTCGTTGTTAGAGGCATGTTCATTTCATCTGCACCCGTCCGTGGTGACTTGATGTGTTTGGTCCGTCACACTTCGCGCGAGAAGTCGATTTGTTGGCGGCTGAGGCATGGGCCTCTTCATCGTTGATCGCGTTCCTCTTGTTTTCCAGCAAGCGGCAGCGATATCGATGGAGACCCAGTTGCGGGTGTGTCGTGTTTGTGGCGAGAACAAGACCAAGGCGACTATGCGGGAGCTGCAGGACCCCTAGCGTTTTTCCCTACAGTATGTGCTTATACTAGGACTCCCATACCCGCACAAACAAGTTCCGCTATCTCTATCTGGGCCATGTGGGTCTGCATGCATGCAGGATGGCATATACGAAGTGCTGGTCGTCACTGGTGGAGCTTTTTGGGAAATGCTGGCCAAGGAGAGGCGTAAGACAGCAGTGAGTTTCTTAGGGCGAGGCCCACGCTGTGATTCTCTGTTCATGACAGGACGAATTAAGCCTTGACATGTTCGCCACTGTCGTGGTGGACGAGGCGCACCACGTTTCCGGCGAGCATGTTTTTGCAAGGACGGGTCCATTTCTTATGAAAGCTGGTGATACTCAAAGGATCTTACACGCATCGTCTTTTCGTCTTTCACAGTTCCGTAAACTCTCTCGCAGGCCCGATTTGCAAACGATGAGATTTCATATTCTTCCGTATACCAGCGTGAATGAAATTTGAGGACAACTCATTCCAAAGTAATGCAGGATCTTGGGCAAGGTGCGGAACCTGCCCGTGGCACCTAGCCGTCGCCCACGGCTTCTGGGACTCTCTGCTTCGCCTTTCGCAGCGCTGAGTAGCTCAGAGAAAACGGGGTGCGACGTCACTGTCTTGTTTCTTTCTATGAAGGAGTCAGTTGGCTTCTGTAGCTTGGTGGACTTTGACATCACCATACGATCCTCCTATGATAGCATACAGTAGAATTCCGGATGCACGCTCAAGCCTGCAGCCGAGGCGCCCGGGTGGCAGAGACGCGCTTGCGGGATCTGCAGGCTGTCACATCCCCATACCTACTGATAGCTGGAACAGTTGAGGAGCTGGACAAGAAGCTCAACTCCTCCTGCCACATTCAAACGAGGAATCATGAAGAGCTGTGTGGAGCATACAGCTAGAGGATGTTGGGTAGCAGCACGGGCTTGGAACTGCGAGGCGACGACGAGTAGGTGTGGTTTGCAGAGTATGCCTAGCACCTTGTGTAAGAAGCAGCCACTTGTGGACGTTAGCCTGACGTTCGCAGATTCGCCCCGCTAATGTTAGTCTTCTCAACTTGGGAGCAAGAGAAGGTGGCAGATCCTGCGTAGCTCTGTGTTCTGGCAGGTGGCTCGTTGAGAGTGGGCCCAACACCACCATAAACGTAGATGAAATGGGCAGAATGCAGATCCCAACTTCGGGTTGAATCAATCGGAGTTCAGGATGACAGAACAAACGCGGGGCATGGGACGAAAGCCTACGGAACGCTTGCAGATTAGTTTTCCCATGCGAAGGGAGCAAGGAAACTCAGTATAACTCAGTGACCCTCGTGGCGACATGGGATTTGATGCACGCATGCTGCCCACTTACTCCACTGACTCGCAGGTGACAAAGGCGGACAGAAGCTCCCCTGGTCCGTAAAAGGTGCAGGACCTCCACCAGTCGTTTGATAAGATATGTGGCAGCAAGTCATTTGCCGAGAGGCCGCATTTGCAGGGGCAGCTGTTTTCAAGCCGCCTACCCTAGCGAAGGCGCAGCAGACCACAGCAGCTCGGCAAATGTCGGCATGACTTGCTCAGGGGAACGGCTCGAAGAATGCTTCGGATAGGTGCAGGACAAGCAAATTATCAAATGCTCATTGCAGAAGAGCCTCTCAGCGGCGAGGGGTTCTGAAGTGAAAGGCCACTTCATGGCAAGAGCACGTTGAGTTCACTAACATCTGAGAATCAGTTTTGACTTGTCAAGCTTTTCGAGCTGATCGATGCGGACGACTTCAAATCAATTCAGAGAGAGACCCGTGACATGAAGATCATGCAGGATTGGGTGATATTGGACCCTTCGCAGTCTCAACAGCTTTCCCTGGACTGGTTGGCAGGCTGGGATATTGTTTCCTGAATGGTTTGCCATGCAAGGTTTAGCACATCCGGTGGAGTCGCCATGACAAGCCTCAGATCTCCACGCTGAGCGGGTGGTCGTTGCCACATCGGGTTCATTGTCCAGGCTGCCTCCGGGCAGGTGCCAGCGAGATGGGCCTCATAGGACTCGCGCCAGAAGCAGCAAGCACAGCTAATCGGTTTGAAGTCGGAGTGGTTGTTTTCAAATCGTGGGACGTGTGAGCAGCAGCATTCGGAGGAGCTGGCAGCATCCCGGAGGATTTTGGCAGCACGCAGCAACTGGGATGACCCTGAGACATGAACAGCCGATGTGGTGCAATCCGCGCAAGTGTGCATGTGATGCTCAACCGTTTGGAGCTGAAGTTGGAATTCTTGAGGTTGCCAGACACTTCGGAAGAACAACTCGAGCATCCACCTGTCCACGAAATGACTCTGTCCGAAGCTTCCCGAAGCGGAGGCGTGTCCTTGACGATGCTTCAAGCCTTGGTCGCTGGCGTGGAGCACTGCGTGGCGTGGAGGCCAGATCCTTAAAGTCTTGATGCGGTGCTTCAAGAAACTCGGTCCTAGGTATTGGGATACACACACGGCACGCCAGCCCTCACATTGACAGCATAGCCTGGCATGCTCGGCACTGTCCCCGTGCCTGAGCAACGGCCGGTACCGATTGTTCTTCTGTGATTCTATCCGTTTGCGTGGTTTCGTGTCGGCCAAGTGCCGTGTCCTTGCTTGACAAGGATTCCTTGCGAATAAAGGTTCACGGCAACGCGCGGGCCTTAAAGTAGCGGCTGCTGCCAACGAGTCGCAAAGTGATAAGGGCAGTGTTCGGCAATAGTGTACGTAGCTGTGACAGCTGAGGATTGCCAGGAGTCGAAAAAGAATCTCAAGGGAGTTGAAGCTCTTCACCAGGCAGGGCGGTGGCCTTCACCAGCCAAACTCCCAAAAATTGTTTGCCCCGGCCTTTGCAACTAGGTGGTCGCCATGATGGAAGTGTGTCTAGTGGTCGGCACTGCGGAGATCAAGAAGCACTTGGCAGCAAGAGCTGAAGAGGTTCCCTGGTTACGTGCAGCCCTGGAGGCCGGCACTCTGTTTTGGACAAGTGTGCGAGATACTCCCCACTCCCCAGACTCAGAGCGCAGTTGCTGTGGGTGGGGGCTGCAGATGACGGCAGCTTGCACGAAGGCTTGCCCACAACAGCGGGCTGAGCTCAAGTCGCCGCAGCTTCTTCAGCTCTCGAAGGCATGGAGATCTGTAACTAGAGATCTTGGCACGGAGTGCCAGTTGCATGAGCTCTGTGATCTGATTGAGGCGGGAGTGTTTAAGACCGTCACATGCCCGATCAGCGATGGCAGGTGCTGCAACCACTGTCAGCAGACAGCCGGGTCCTTGTCTTTGTGATGACCCGGGCGGCTGCTCGCCAGCTCTGTGATGCTCTCAGAGCAGGTTGGAGTCAATTAGATGCTGCTTGTCACTCGAGCGGCTGGTGGATCAAGTTGCATCGTGAGGGTGCCGTGCCGAGGTGCTGTGCTGAACGAAGATGCTGAAATCGTCAAAAAGTTTTCTCCACGGAGCCTTGGTTGAGGCAAGCAGCGGCTCTCCCTGTCGCATGTTGGGCGAATCTTTGATTCCTCATGGTTCTTTGTCTTTGATTTGCTCAGGATTATAGTGGGCCAGGGTGGTGCGGATGGCATGGACTGGGAGATGGGCCAGGCTCGGAACGGAACGCGCAGCAATCTCACAGAAGGAGATCTGTGGAATAGCTGAGGGTGCGGCATTGGCGGCCTTTGCTGAGGGTGAGACCCGGCTGCTGGTGTGCACATCTGAGCCTCGATGCAACCTAAGCGTCCTTGGGAGCGTTGTCGGACCCTGATCTTGTTGAGGAAAAGCCTGTTTCCGTGAGCCGAACGCAGCATGGGCCGAAATGCTTCTGTCTTGCAGATTCAGGTTCTGGAAGAGGGCTTGGACGTCGCATCCTGCGACCTCGTGGTGCGATTCCAGGGTGTGAACTCTTTGACGTCTCTGCTGCCCGGCTGGGTCCAAATGCCTGAGATGCCAACTCGCACACTGCAGCAATGCATCCAAGGATTCAGAGCAGAGGCCGAGCTCGAAAGGCTAGAAGTCGCCTCGTGGCACCTGGTCTTGCATCAAAAAGTCACGACGAAGACAGACATACTGTGAAGACTAGGCATTCCGAAGTGCTGAGATTTAGACGTTCATCGTTGACTGTATTGTGGCTCAGGTCATGCTTCCCAGCCAGATGCGGTCCAAGGTTCTAGAGATGGAAGACCGCGAGCGCCTGATGGACGCCGCTTCGAACAAGCCAGCCTTACTTTTCGTATCAGTGACACTGAATCCATCCATTGCTGCAGACTGGAAGCAGGTCCTGTGCGATTCCTCAAAGATGCTGTCAGCTGTTTTTGTGCTCAGGCGATTCTGGAGCAGTCAGCCGCTCGAGGCTTGATCAAAATGCGGCTGGGAAAATCTTTATTTTGTTCGACATGGTGTACCGCAGTCAGAGCTAAGGACAATCCGTCCCGTCTGCTCGCACAGAAGAGCGAATAGCACAGCTGTCGGTTGAGCATCCGGAGAGCATTGCCTCTCGGGGAAACGAGGCTTGAATCATGATTGTGGAAAGGGGGCTATGGCTATCAGCCTGAGATTCAGGAATTATTTCCGTCAAAAAACCTGTCTGTAATCTGTCCTCTACATGTAACAAAGATCTGTCAGCTGCCGCTGGCAGGGCTTTGCATGTGTGAGAAAATAGTGAATAAGATCTGTGAATAGTCTGTTTCAGATCTGTCACAACTGTCTTAACCGATGCACGTGGCCGCCCTTGTGCTTGTCACGCCTGCCCTTGTGCGGTAGCATCACAGATGCCACTGCATGCACGCCGTCCTCTGAAATGGACCAAGTCAAGTAAGAGGCTACAGGCAACATACGTCCGCCAAAGTCCGCAGGCCGACACTGCCAACTCCGAGGATTACTCTCATGGAGGCATGCTACAATGATACAGTGGCGCATGATGGGCCATGCTGCCATGATCGCACATACTTGCACATGCGGCTTGCAAGCTGATTGCGCCTTTTGCTGCTTCTGCCACAAGCACGGCCAGAAGTGTGGCATTCCATGTCTGCATGATGTTGAGGCAAAAGCTTGGTCCTACGATTGGTGGTCTTTGACGGGGAGGGCGAAAGGGAGCTGAAAGATATCATCTTGCGACAGCTGCAGGGTGCCACAACAAAAATTACTGCATGCGGGCTGTGCACTCTGCACTGAGAGGGTCCATATCGCATTCCACATGATATGCAGTTCTTATGGTCCTATAGTTCTTGCACGCAGCAAAAACATGCAGATTCAAGTTCTCCCTGTGTCACTCGGCATAAGTGCACGAGGCAATCCGCTGGCTCTACGGGTGCAGCGCATAGAAAAGATGACCCAGCCTGCAGAGCTCGTCACGGCCTGCCCAGCGTTCTGACTCTGACTTCATGGGGCCGGAAACTCTGAGATGGCATGTGACCGAGCGTGTCCTTCTGATGTTCCACCTTGTTTTGCAAGATTGCCCTTCATGTCCCGAGTGCAGAGGCTTAAGGCGTCTCACAGCGAAGCGACAGTCGAGCGAGAGAGAGCTGCACAGTCGGCTGGGTGAGGGGCGGCCCTATGGCCTCCCAACAACAACAGACAGAATGAAAGAGAAGAAGCCCATCGTGGGCTTTTGTTGGGAGAGTCTGGCCAGAAAGCGCCGCAAAGCATCGAGAAGATTTCTAAGCGGGGTGAAGGCCGTTTTCATTGAAATCCCGAGCCTCACAGCCTGCCAACCCGGGCCCATGCTTCCAACTTCTGTCAGCTTTTATGTATGCTTTTGTAAGGGCCTAAGCTCCACCCACGACGTCGCTTTCATCGTCAGCGTGAAGGGCATGACAACATCATCTCGGCCAGCGAGACCGAGCATGCTGTAACTTGGCTTCAGCTTCTCGTTTTGGTTTGGTTTTGCTTTGTGCACGAGTTTGTGTTCTTGTGTTGCCGTTCCTAGACTCTGTCTTTCTTTCTCACCCCTGTTCCCAGCAGTTGGTCGTAGTTGAACTCACGGGACTCGATCAGACTCTGATTGTCTCCCACGGCGGAGGTATGAAAGCATCTGCCGCGCTTGGGACTTCCAAGCTCCAGTAGATCAGAAGAAGCTGAGCATCTGGTGTCAGCCGCACGTCAGTAGATTCAGTACGTGAGGGCTTTGGATTCGGGTCGTGGGCTACTTGTGCAGATGACCATGAGGGTGATGGTGTCGATGCGATCCGACAGACTGCACCACACTTCTTTTGTGGTTGCTGAAAATGAGTGCCTTGCCTGAGAGGTCACGAAGCAATGATAAGCAATGAAGACTGCCTTGTTTGGTGTACGCCAGTAAGAACCAGGGCAATGGGCCAAAACGACGGCACCGCAATAATAAGAAAGTGTGATGATGGAAGCGACAAAACTTAGGGGTTCCTAATTATGATTTTTAATGTTTGGTTATTATAATCCCTAAGAAACAGCTAAAATTATATTTTTTGCTAGGGTTCTAAGTTTAGTATAGAACAAGCGAGCTATGTGTGGCTTGACAGTCGCATTGTTTCGCCCTTCGGGATTCATGGTAACCCGGTTTGATGATGCATCTCAGGCGTGAAAGTGCCAGTGCCCGGAAGCAGTGCGTGAATCTCAGTTGGCGGGTGACAGAGCCGCTTGGATTGAATTTGAATACACACAGGCTGCACACAGGTGTCAGCAAGGCAGCGGGAGTTGCTTGTGTTCTGCCGGCAGCTCACAGCATCACTGTGGAGACATTGAACCGTGTGCTAGCGCACAGCACACTCCAGCATGTTTGATGGACCTGTGCAAGGATGGCAGTGGGAAGATTTTGCGGGCGGCATGAGCCAAGGGCCAAGTGACGTTGTGAAGCTTGATACTGTTGATGGACAAAATCCTGCATTACCCTTTTAAGGAATTTACCATAGTTCCCATAGTTTAGGGTCCTTAAGGTCATGCAGGATTTCGTCCATCAGCAGTATCATCCTCGCCGGTTTGCTTTTGCAGAGAGCGTGACATTCTCAGCAGCGAGGTTCTGGGAAGCTAGACGGATTGTGGACGAGACGGACGAAGCCACTGTGAGGTTCGGCGATGGGCAAGTGGAGCTCCAAGTGCCGGACAAGTGGATTTTCGGCCAGGTTTCGCACTAGTGGTGGACACGTCTAGTTCTAGCCAGTTCTAGACCTAACGACCTGCTAACATGGTTTGCCTGACTTGTGTTCTTGTGTGGCAAGGAGCACCCTTCAGACGGGTCGGTTTGCGCTGCTTCTTCGCGGCGCCAGCATTTCTCACCTTTGCATCAAGCTCAAGCTGACGACCTTGGCAGGGTTTGCATGCTTGGCTTCTCGGAGACATCCGACATTGTACCTGCCTGTGACGAGCACGCCCATCGTTACTGTCTGCTACACAATCGGTGGGCAGAGCCACGACGAACGTCTCGTCGGATTTGAGTCACACCCCCTGCTCTCCAGACTTGCCGAGAGCTTCGTGGTGGCATTTGGCATAGATGCGCTTGATGCGGGGAGTGCGGAGAGCCTGCGCGAGCTTCTCGCAGAACCTCGGTTCCTGCCAGTGCCTGTATTCGACACCCGCATAGTCCATGTGGCCGAAGCTATCTCTGATGTCGACCATGCATTCTCTGTGGCAGAGCCTTTAGCTAAAGAAAGCAAGCTTGTCTTGCCAAGCAGCCTTCACTGGGCAGTCGGTGTGCTTTGCACCAACAGCACATCCCTGCAGCCGCTCGCGAAAAAGAGAGTGGTGACACACTGCCACAATCTGGCCAAAGCTCATGCTGGGCCTGGAAAAATTGAAGCTGCGGAAGCAGCTGTCTACAGCACATTGGAAGCAAGCCTGGAATCTTACTGGGCAGATGCTGAAGCTGTGTTCAATGCAGCATATGACTCCTTGAAGGGAATGCCAGCTGAGCAGATCAACAGGCTTCACGGAGCAACCAGCCATGGAAACTACGTCCTGATGAAAAGAGTGGCATGCACACCCTCGCGACTGGTTCTGCTGCCACCTGCTCCGATGCTACTGGGCCTCACTACTAGCTGTCTGCTTGGATGTTGCATTCATTACAGGCTCAATCAAAGCATTGTTTTGGGAAGAACTTGATATCTAATGGGGCATCGGCTCCTGATTCACTGCATGCTTCCGGGGCTGTTCAGGGCAAAACTTAGAACAAAGGTAAGCCCCTGCTGCTTGGAGCCGCCAAGGCAGTCATCCAGGCTCTTGCGCCGGTGCAGTCATTGCAACTTCGTGTCGGTACGCTTCGTGGAGGCCTTGTTGTCGGGTCTGCAGTACTGCTTTCCGATAGATGCATGTTGCCAGAGCTGTTTCCATGTCCCCGACATGGCTAGCGACATTGACAATGATGGAGTGTGGCCGTTTCAGGATGTTGGTTGCAAGGTGCTGGTTGGCCGGTTTGCTACATGAGGCAACCATGTCATTGACATTGTTGCTACAGGAACAGCTGCAACGCGTTCATGGCACGGAGTTTACGACACATATCGAGAGTGCGCGCGCCTCAGCGACAGGATGCATATGTCATGCTACAAAACTTGAGTGTGTCAACGTCATCTTGGTGCGGCACAATCCGTCTGTCCTGCACCTCCACTTGTCGTTGGGTGGTTGAAGAGCTCGTCGCGTGCATGAGCCATCTGTTTGGTTTGGGCAGGTGTGGAAATCGTGGGCTCGTTGAGTTTGTTATCGCCCGAGGTTTTGAGAAATGGCCTGCGCATTGGTGGTACCTTGCCTGACGTGTTTCGGGCGTCAGGCCGTGCTGTGCAACTATAGTTACGTTGCACCTATCTGCCTCCTTTGCATCGACAACGAGCAGTTCCCGGTGTCCACCACTCCCCTGAAGCCTAAGGTGTTCTTTTCAGGTATTTCGGCTCTTCTGCATCTCAGCTTCGCAGTCACTCTGCCATGCTCCTTGGCACTGCTCTGCTTTGACAAGCAGGAAGCCCATCACTGACAGTTTCGAACTCTCCGGAAGCGTGCGTTTGAGGTTCGTAGAGGCAGAGCACGTGGAGTTCGTACAGAGGCTGCGATCTCAAATCCTGCTGCCTTGCTGCAGAGATGGGCAGGATCTCAAGTCTGCAGCCGGAAAGCAGTTCCGCTGTGCACTGAACGGTTGCCTTGCTGTGGAGCTGTCACCAATGAGATGCCAGGAGAGTACGATGTGAAATTGACTGTCTGCACGGAATTCAGCCGTCTTAGCCTCCAAGGATAGATGCAAGCATGTTCAAAAACGTCGCCCAGTATTCGTCTCGGCTCGGCCTGTTCTTGACAGCGGATGAACCTGCTTTTGCGGTCGAACATGCCGACACGCACCGGGGCCTGCAGCTGGGGAGTTTTCACTAGGGCTCAGGAGAAGCCGCTTGAAACGTTGCTTCTGGTTTCATTGCGTCGCCGGGAGCAGCAGGCTCGTCCCAGAAACTTGTAGATGCACCAGAATTTGCTATGAGCTCGGACTTGACTTAGAAGACAACTGTGGACATGAGAGCACCAGGCATTTTCCGAACTTTGCGTTCTTTCCAAACGCTGCATGTCATCAGAGGTACGAAGTCCCAGACATCATGTCCTCGAGCGGGCAACTGTTGACAGATGGTGCTGGGAAAATCAGCCACAACGTGGCGGATGCTGTAGCTTCAGCCCTGGGCCTCGAGACATGGTTTCAACTTAGCTTGTGGCCAACTTGCAGCAACGATTAAAAACAAAAGTCAGGGCTTGTATCCTCCCAGAGCCAAGAATTGAGGATAGGACACCTTCGGCTTTCCAGCACCGCGGCTGAAAACTGCACGTTCTGAAGTTCAAGATTCCGCCGTGCTGCGAGGAGCATGAAGAGTGAAACCGGTGTAGTGGATTGAGCGACAAGGTTCCGCTGGGCTGGCCTGAAAGGAGTGGTGACCGTTGTTCTGCCGGAGGCGCCTCTCCTGAGTGAACCCCACCATACAGTTCAACGCTGTTGAGTATTGCATCTAGAATCTAGGCAAAGCTCCGCCCCCCCTTTAAGCATTTGTACCGGAAGCCTTCGACATCGGTTTGTTTGAGCTAGCACAATCTGGCAACGTCTGGCAGGCAAGACATAGCGTTAACGGGTCAAGTGGTGACCGTGACAATCCCAAGCTGGAGTTTCTGCAACAAGCTTCATGCAGGACCCAGAGCTGCGCAAGGCATCTCTCAAGCTTGGTCGGTCGTGCAAGCTGCTATACCGACCTTCCATGAAGAAATTCGAGGGAAATGATGTCACATTCTGTGCGACTCCGAGGCAGACAGGTTTAAGGGCGGTGAGAACGCAACAGTTGTCCTAGGCATTCAGGCTAATTCCGCGGCAACTCGATGCCTAGTTCTCTCGGTCAGCTGGAGATCTCGGATTGAAATGTGGCACGCACCAAAAGATGTGATGCTCCTGACCGATTCAGGTAGTCAGCTATGCCGAGCACCATCCGGTTTTTCTCAACAGGCACGGCGGTGAAAAAGTCAAGAGTGCGGCTGAGCGGTGTCCATGGGGTTTCTGAACCACGTTTCATTCGGGCTGAAATCAAGCCCCTGTGACTGTGGCAATATATCTATATATCATTCCAAGCCCTGCACGAAACACCAGCAGCCAATCCAGATCCAGCTGCAGGGAGATCATCAACCTGCTGACCAGCCTTAGCTGCGTGGGCAGCCAATGGGAGATTGACGCAGCCTTGACCCGACGACAGGAAGCTGTTCTGTGGCTTGGCTTGACATACACTAATACGCTGCTCAGATCCGAACGACCAGATAGGAGATCGAAATGCAACACAGCCAAGGGAGCTGCGTCTTGAACAAACACAACGTGTGTGTAGGTTGCTTGCTTCACTAGATCCGCTCAACTGGTTCCTGTTGCCAAAAGTCAGTTTTGAGTTAAGCCTGCTGCTGATGCTGTACTTCTTGAGGCAGCAGGCGAGCGAGATTTTCACAGATGAAGACAGAGCATTCGCGATGCTGCATGCATCTTGCCGCAGATTTAGCCGACTCACCATTCTGGAACTAACGTAGGGCATTGTGGCGGCATGTTGCCTCATGACATGACCATCATGCTGCTGGTTCCTGCTTGATCCCACTGCAGGAAATGCTGCCATCGTCGTGGCGGCACCGCCTGGTCCATGCACGTGAAGGTAAAGGATTGATCAATGAGCCTTTCTGGCTCTCAGTGCTTCTCGACATGTTTTCATGCAGGAGGATGTAGGACTTGTGGTGCGCGAGCGTCGGTGACGCTTGCTGTTGGCTGCATGTTTCTGAGGCTCGCCAAGGCTTACAGACTGCAGGCCAGGGGTTGCAGATGAATGTGAAACAAGGTGCCATAAAGTGCTCAAATCCGGCAGACCCCTGATGTGACATGTGGCTTTGTTACCTGACTCGGCTTGGTCAGGTGCGAGACCTGGTGCAGCGCGCTAGGATCCCGATCCCTGTGACGGATGGATGTCTTGCCATGGGAACACCGGACCCACTCGGAGTGCTCAAGGAAGGCGTCGTGATAACAGGTTTTGTCGGAGGAACGCAGTGCGAATGTTTGACTTGGAATGGTGCCTGCAAGCTCTCTCGCTCGAGAGGCGAGGTCTTCCTGCAGTGCGTGTACAGAGAGCCATGGCTGGCATGCGACATACCATCTCGAGCAAAGACGTCGCTTCCGATTCAGTAGAGTAGCTGTGAGTGGTACTGTTTGGGAGTGCCGTTTGGCTAATTTAATGTATCGATCCAAATTCTCGGGATGAGCGTGCTCAACATGAGGGGTTCATCTGCAAGCATCTCCGCTGACTCAATCCGAGAGAAGGTCGCGAGACGAAACCCCTGCGTTCTATGGCAACTCTAACTTCTGATTTTCATGCGCTACTAGGATCTACTCGGTACTAGATTCGTACTGAATGGGGGTTGGGGACTAGTGGGAGGACCGTAGTGTTTGCAGGTAGTTGCACGTCGTAGTAGGCAGTATAGTATGTACAGTGTAGCACCCAGTATTAAATAGTAGTTCGTAGAAGTACGTAGTAGTGTATAGTGCACAGCTAGTGGATGCTAGTGGTACGAAGATTTTAGGTACTGTAGTAGTGCAGTAGGAGGAGGAGGAAGGAGTAGGAGGAGTCGGAGTGGGAGTCGGAGTTAGAGTAGGAGCAGGAGCAGGAGTAGGAGTAGTAGTAGTAGTAGTCGTCGTCGTAGTAGTAGTAGTAGTAGTAGTAGTAGTAGTAGTAGTAGTAGTAGTACTAGTACTTAGTAGTAGCAGTAGTAGTAGTGGCAGCAGCAGCAGCAGCAGCAGCAGCCGCAGCAGGAGTACCAGCAGTAGAAGCAGCAGGGGAGGAGTAGAAGTAGTACTAGGTAGTAGTGCGGAGTAGTTGGTAGCCCCGGGTAGTAGTAGGTGGAGATGGAGGTGGTGGTAGGTCGTGGTGGTGGTCGTGGTGGTGGTGGTGGTGGTGGTGGTGGTGGTCGTGTTGATGCAAACCCTCAGGTCGTCGACCCCTTGGTACTTTGCTTGATCACCTCGAGTTTAAGGCTCAAGGCTTATGCATTATTCAAAATGAGTTCCACAATGCTCAGGATTCCAGACAACGATTGCAACGGCGTGTAATCCAAGGTGCCGTGATCATCTACAGCTGCCTGCTTGAGAATAGAGGCAGACGTTCAATTGTGGATCTCAGAGTGAGGTTTGGGCTTGAGAGATGCAGTTTCAGGGCCATCACGCTGCGAGTGTAGTGACCGGTGGCCTGATAAGGTAAGCCCTTTGAGCTCAGCAACTACTAGGCGCTTCGTTTTAGGTTCGGATGGGATCGAGCCCGTCAGGTCTGCCAGGCTGTTAGATTAATTAAGTACAATCCCCAGACAGATCCTCAAATGACATTGCTTCAAGCAAGAAAAAGCGCAATTTGCAAGGAAACCCGTGCCTGCATCCCGGTGACATTCGGAAGTTGCGGGCAGTCAACAGGGCAGAGCTGCTCTTCCTCGAAAATGTGCTGGTGCTCCCGGCGGTTGGTGTGAAATCTGTCGCTGCCTTGTGCAGTGGCGGAGACCTGGATGGCGACAAATTCAGTGTCATTTGGGCTCCAGATCTGGTGCCTCCAGACTGTTGCGTGCATGACCCAATGGATTACGATGCTGTTCTGGCAGCGGCTGGCCCTGCTGTCGGAGCTCAGCCTGCAAACGGCATGTTCGCAGAGGAGGACTTGGTACACTTCTTCGTTCGAGTCGTAGTGAACGACACCTTGGGAAAGATTGCTCATATGCACCTGGCCTTTTGCGATGCCTCCGAGCAAGGCCGGGGTCGCAAAAGTTGATTCCTGGGATCCGGGCTTCAGTTTCCGTGCTGCAGCTCTTGAACTGGGACATATTCGGACGAAAAGACCGCCAGGTGCTCTCGATCCTTTGGCGATTGAGCTTGCCAAGTCGCAATCGCTTGCTGTCGACTTTCCGAAGACGGGCGTTGCTCCGAGTGTTCCGCAGGCAACGTTGGAGGGCCTGAAGTCCAACGGTTTTCCTGATTTCATGCAGAAGCCTGGGGCCGCGACTTGGTGGCGAAAAGTGCAGAGACCCTAGATGGCCTCGATGCTCGGCCCGGCAGCGTAAAATTAAGGACACCTACACCTCTAGCAAGACTCTGGGCAGCTTGTTCCGCCGCTGTATCTCCCTTGATGCCGACTTCGAGATGGCTTCGTCCCTGGACTTGGATGCACAGTTCTTGCTCCCATCTCGGCGTGAGTGGCAGGCGGATGCTCGCCAGGCATCAGCCGCAAAACTTGTCGTCGCCCCCCCTCTTCTCTGCGAGCCTGCGCCTGCCAGGTGTTTGCGCACTTCTCCACAGAGGTTGGTCGCTTGATGGTGCTTCATGGCCTTCGCCACGAAGCAGAAGCAGTGCTTGCCAGACCCCTGCACTGGCCATCCACAACCATTGACAGAGAGAAAGCATCCAACACGATTGCCTGGCACCTGGAACTGATCATGAGAAAGTTCAGAGAGTCTGGACCGCGGTTCAGCATGTATTAGTTAGGCCGAGGCTCACAGAGACACTGCTTCACTGTGTCTGCGTCTCGCCCATGGTCAGGATAAGTTCTTCGAGAATGTAAATGGCGTCACTGCGCGAGCGAAGGCTTCTGCGTGGTACGAAGTCGCCTACGAAGGACGGAAGATGTCCTTAACAAAGAGCAGTAGTCAGTAGTGGTTTGGGTAAGCTTTCTGGCACACCGGCCAGGAGGCAATTCGGATCGGTTTCGACGAAGGTGCTTTGCTTGGATTGTCGACGACATCTTGCACGACATATCCCATGAAGTGCGGCAGCTTGCTTGATCTGCTTTCTGGCTTCTGTCATCTTTTGCATTCGCTGCTCTTGCTTCAGGCTCGAAGCTGCATTGCATGTGCAAGAGAGCCGAGGTCGCAAGGTCAGATGCTTGACAACTGCGTGACGGGCTTACGTTTTCTATCGATAGTCCTGTTTTGCCCAGCTGCAGCCGGAACACGGACACGAATTGATTGTCATGTACCCCACCATGGGATTGTGACGAACCAGTCAGATTTGATTTCGTTGTGAGTCGGAATCTGTCGCTAACAGTCTACTTGATCGGACTCGTGCTCGTTTTCCGGTCAAACTATTCCTGGAGGGTTTGAACTTGCGCAATGAGTATTCTCAAGCGAGAGGAAGGACACTGGTCTTGGAGGTGGAGAAATTGTTCAATACAAACAGTCCAGGAGTCCAGGGGATCAGTTACATAGGCGAACTTACACTTGTGGCAGGCTTCGCCCTGCCCTAGCCTCGTGTGCATGTCAGAACTCAGTACCCGTGCGTGCTGAATTGACGCTTCAACTACATAAGTTACATGAGTGACTCGTTCGCAGATTTTCTTCTTTCTGCCTTCCTTGGCTCAATGTCTGGATTGGGCGAGCTCCACATCACGAGCCGCCTTAATTAGTACATACGGAAGACGGCCGAACATGAAGTGAAAGACAGTTTACAGTTTGGGGCCTTCCACATTCGTATTTATGCAGATGGAGTCGTGTCAGTTCCGAGCAGCGCCTCTGACTTCCTCCAGCACCCTGCAGGAAAGACTTGGAGAGCACGCATGCGCACACCCTCCCTACACCCAAGCAAATTAACACAACGTGCCTGGAGTGCAGAAAGATGCAAGGCGGACGGCAGACCACAAGCAAACAACAGGCGTTTCAGCGATTTATCAATGCATCAGAGTGTACAAACGAGTAAATCAGCACATCGGTAGTGTAGTGATAATGTACATGTGTACCCTACTATTATACCAACAGAGACATGCACACAATACACGTACGAGCACGCAACCATTGAGGAATCTCATTGGCAACAACAAGTGACGACGGAGACTCTGTAAAGATGGCATTCTGCCAAACGAAACGACCCGTTTTCGATGTTTTCATTCAGACAGAGACACTCGGACAGGGCATGACAGGGCCTCCCACGTGCTTATAATGAAGCGTGGTGCCTTGCTGCAGCATTCTCAATGCACAGGGTGCGGAAGCGGTCCTGACGTTGGTTGGCGAAAGTGTCCGAGCAGAGTTGCTGGAAGTATTGCCGGCCTTGCACCTTGGCATTCGGCTTCATTCTGCGCTGGACTTATGGTAAGATTGAAAAGGTCACGGGAGTGGGCAGCTCTGAGAGGTTACGGTTTCGAACATTTGTTTTGGAGCGAGCGTATTGCCATGGTCTTTGTGTTGTCCTGTGTGGAGTTGGCTCAAGTGCAGTTCCAGGCAGCAAGTGGTCGCCGGCAAACTGGCCACACTCGGCTTGGTGCAGCGCACGGTCGATCAACACTGCACCCAGCTATGTGGGAAGTCAGGTAACGGTAGCTTTCAGCCGTTCTGCTTTCATCCGTTCGGATCCACCGCGCTTGGTCTCTGCGAGCAAGAGTCTGACCTGGATATTTTTGCAATGATTCCACCAGAACTTTTTGCAGAGTTCGTCCCCGAGAACAATTTGGCAGCTTTCCGGCAGTGCACGAGCCAGCAGCAGGCCAAACACTTCTTGCGAACAGTGCTGTCCCCGGCTTTGGACGTCATTTCCGTGGAAAAGAAGGAGGTTCTCGATGCTCGTGTCCCAGTGCTACGGCTGAGCTTGCGCCCAGTGCTGGATGCAACCGAAGCAGACGACGAGCAGAGGGTAGACGTGTGTCTGAGTCCCGAAGGCCCCGCGGGAAAACGAACTGCTCAGCTCCTCTTGTCGTTTTAATGTTTCAGTGCTAGACTCGGCCAGCTGCTCAACATGCACACCTGCGCAGTGAGCAGGATGGCTGAAGGCGGAGCACTTTTACGACAGGATTGCCTCCAGTCCTGCAGCGTACGGCGTGGTTTTGCTTCTCACGACGCTCAAGCCCCATTCAGAATCCTCTTCATCTTCAACAGGGGTTGGGAAACAGATGAAGTCGTGCACGAATTTGAAGTCCATATTGTGCGCTGGACTGACACCTCACTGGATGCGAGCCTTGTTGTTGCCAGCAACAGCTGCTGTAGCCGTGGTGCTGAACGGGTTCCCGTTAATGCGGATAAGTTGTTTGCTAGATGGCTCTTACAGCAAACCAACTTTTCATGCCCAGCAGTTTGCTGGAGCAGTGCTGAATCTGAAGGATGTGGGCACGAGGTGTGGGCTTGGTACGTTCCAGTGGTGCACAAGCAGTTGCTGCAGGACCTCTCGCTTGAAGCTAGCAGCCAAGATGAGGGTCTGAGTGTAGCTTATCTCAAGTGTTAGCAGTAGAATTTTTAGAAGCCAGGAGTTGGAGAAGCAGCGCTCGTGCCGGGAGAGTGGCAGGCCTCGGCTTGGGTGAAATGCATAGGTGTGGACGCTACTATTGAATCCAACTGCATGTTGGTACTGTAGGTTAACGGAAGGTGTGGCACTCGCAACTCAGTTGTTACTGCAACTACTCCCGAGCTATTTCTGGGATTAGTAGACAAGTGTGGATGGTCCTTGTCACCAAGCCGGTGCCCGTCTTTGACTAACTGGGCTTCGGTGCCGGCAGCAGCTAACTTCTCGTAGCAGGCACTGCTGCTGTTCTTGTTGAAGACGGATGACGCTCTACAGAAGACCGTTGAAGAATGCTTCGCGGCGCAACCTGTGCAGTTCTTGTCTTTCGTAATGTCGTAATGACGAAGACTGCTTGGCGTTCGCAGCTCAACCTTGTGCAGCTACTGCTGGTGGTGCTCGAAAGGGTTTCTAAGGTGCCCGGCCCTCCGGACTCCGAGCTGCAAAAGTGGAAGCTCGGCTGGTGCAGCTGATGGACTTCGCACAGAGCGCAGCACACAAAGACTACCTGAACCTGGGCAGGCCATGCTCTTCTTATCTAACAGCCACAGTTGAGGGGGCTGGTTAGTTCCAAAAGAGGATGATGGAGCATCGGATGAATAGTGGCAACTACTGGTAGTTGGGTGGCCTTTCTTGCAGCCGCTTCAAGCAGCATTGCCCCACCAGGCTGCTGCACGCTTTCCTGGCAGCGTTGAGGCAGCAGGGATGAAGATTCGATTTGCTGTATAGGCCGACAACAGAAATCTGGAAGTAATCTTTGCTGCCGAAACTTTGCACCTGGTGTTAAAGCTCCTGCGGATGCTTCAGCTTTGGCAGGAATTTGAAAGAAGAAGCTGTCCGATTTGAATGGCCCATAAAAGATCGTCCTTTTCACGAGCCTCCTGGCACAGAGAGTAGGGAGAGAGAGTGGCGAGGACTGCTCGTGGCCCGAGCTCAAAGCAAAGCAAAGCAAAGTGCGAAAGGGGTCGAACCTAGTACTGGCGGACCGCCGGGGGTAGGCATTCGGGCCAGGGGGTCGAACTCCATCCCTAACAAGCAGGAAAGCAAGAGACAGAGAGATTGGATGGGGCATGCTTTGCAGCGAAGAGGTGTTGACTGTGCTACATCTCGTTGGTATTCCATCGCTGCAGCATCATAATTTACTGCAATGTGGCATTGTTGGTTGCAGCTCACACTGCACTTCTGCTGCACTTAAGGCTTCCCCAGGGAACCTGCAAGATGGTGGCAAGTTGTGCTAAACATGCGGCCGAGATTCTGGCTGTTAGCCGCCGGGTGCAAACGATGCTCCGGTCTTGCCCGGAGAACAACAGCGCATCAATTGCAAGGCGATTGTCTCGTGCCTTGTCGCACCGTCGCTCGGCTAATCGCACGGAAGAGTTCACCCATCGGCTAATCCCGCGTGTGCAACATTTTGCAGCACGGTGCCGAATGGTTTGGGAGCCTGAGTGGCTTTCCATGTACAATCTGCTTACTTTAGAGCGGTCTTGACAAGCCCAGGACTCCACAGCCACCTTGCCTTTCACGAGACCTACCTTCGAAACTTGCCGGCGCTCAAGTCAGCCCCTCTCCACAAGTACGGAATCACAACGGCTGGCTCCTATGCTAGACAACTGTTAAGGCATACGAGTTTGTGCTGGAATTGTGTGTGCCTGGCGAGTTTCCTCTGGCGAGTTTCCTGTTGGTGGCTTGTGTCGAGTCTGCAGGTAAACCTTCAGAGCTTTTCTCCGGTACACAATGCAAATGCCCGCGGTTGTAAATTGTATGAAGCCAACAAAAAAATATATATATATATATATATATATAAGTATCATGTATATATGTCGGAAAATCGGCCTCCGTCACGAGCCTCCGGTGCAGAGGGTTCTCAGTGCCGGCGGACCAGCTTCCCGTGCCTTCCCGAGGCTTGGAAAGTGTCAAAAGCTCAGACTTCCCGTATGCACCGGCGACCGGAGCCTGCCCAAAATCTGCCCTCACCCCACTACCGCGCTCCCAAACCTTTTCACGCTGCAGAGCGCCGGGCCCCACGCAATCTCCCGAGCCTTCCAAAGTCTGCTGATCCATACACAGGTCTCCAAATTTTCTTGGTGAACTTGTGCACACAGGCTCCACCAGCATTTCGAAACACATACTCCCCTGCAGCGGTTCCGATCCAGGTGCCGAGCCCTCCAAAGCCACTCACAACTGTACACCAGCACGCTGGTTGCCTTGGGGCTGTCATGTAGCAGCCCCACGCTTCATCACCTATAGCCTCAAACCAGCCCTGCGCGGTTTGGGTTGGGGGCGTTCTTGAGCCGCTGGTTCCCGGTTCTACAGCTTGGTGGAGTGCGATTCGATGAGGTTCCGGTTCAGAGCGGTTACATTCAGGACGGCTTATTCGGTTCCACGGCCTTCCTGCATGGAAGAGGCTGCAGCTCACACGTGATGGCCACAGCCGCGACGCGATTAAAGTCCAACATGCCACGAAGATTTACGAACAGTCTGCGGCGATTAGCACTGCACCCCCTACTCAACTCGTAGAGCTGTCAGTGAGTTTGGCAGACTTGCGTGCTACTTTTACCCCAGGCTACTCAATGATACATACACGTAAATGATTCAGGAGAAGTGTCCGGTGCTCACGTGAAGTGCCTTTTCTGCAACTGGTGCTGTGCGCTTAGGCGAGGTGCTTCAAGTAGGCTTCAACTGTGGTGCCCAACGACACTGCCATGCGGGATTATCACTGCGAAGTAGGAGGCAAAAGACAACATTTACCAGTTTTGTTGTGTGTGTGGGGGCTTGCGAGAACATTTGCCGGTGGTCGCTGTGCGCTGAAAGGAAGGCAGTCCCTGAGCTTTGCTCACAACTTCGCTGCCGCTACTTGCAGGGCGTGTCTTGCTGCTCTTTCTCTATCTGTTTTATGTGGACTGCGGTCAGTCAGAGTGGTTGCATCATGTGGCTGCTCTGATGATCAGATTCGATGTTGCCTTACAGGCAGGTTGAACGATGTGCTAATGCATCCCGGACTGACCTGCAGATTGATTATGATTAGCGATTAGTGCCTCAGGTTGGAGGCCTTTGATGGTTCCGATGTGCTCTACCTCTCTGCATCAGGAACGCAGGGGGCTTACGTGAACAGGAGCAGCCTTGTGCAGATCATTTCGACGCGGCTTCCGGTATATGAACCGTCTGGGGCGTAGGACTGCACATTTGGTCTTCGAAGATGCAGATGGGAGTAGAACTCAACTTCCTCATTATCGGTGCATCGACCGTAATTATGGGCATGCTGGCTTGAGGCGGTCCAACATCCTAGAGCTTCAGCGCCAGCTCCGCCGCTACACCACGGCAGCCCTCGCCCTGGGAATGCCATCCACAAAGGCCTCAGAGTTGAAAGAGACGTGAGACTGTCCTTCCGCACTGCGGCTTCAAGCGAAGCTGCTTCGCTGCGGCCAGGCATCGAGATACTTCATGGAGGGCCGCTCAGCCGAGAATTTAGTCGGACGGGTTTCAAGACTGTCTTATGAACCAGCCAGGACTGGCGGCTGGACCATAGCATGTATGTAGAAAAGCTGCATACAGTGCAATCGCCTGGCAGGATCAACGCGACTTCTCTTCGCAGGCGCCATCAACCTCACGATGCGTGTGCGCTTCGTGGAGCACAAAGGGGCCTACGTGCCACTGCATGCTGCTTGTGAGCGTATGCTGCCCTGTCTGAACAGCATCGCGGCTTGGCAAGAGCAGAGCGAAACAGGCCCGTTCGAATAGAGGTGTAACTTACTCGCATGATCTTCAACACAACGCCCAACGTCCCGGACAACCGAGGACCAGACATTTGGCTGGGAGGACTCACTGCGATGCTCTCATGCCGTGCCTGTCGTACGGGGCATGTCAAACACTAGGCGATTACATGCGACTACCATGCGGGAGTTGTCGGCCTGCTCGCACTTCTCTTGCTGAAAGCTGCGGAGTGAAGGACTTGGCATTGCAGCGATTCTTGGATTTGTGGACAAGCCAACTTTCAAAGCTGCGGGACAACAGCAACCACCTGCTAGACGTCGTGGCAGTCCGCCACTTGGGTTTCAGACATGTGTCCAACATTGTTCCATGTTTTGCTTCCGCATGTACAGCACCCGCCAAGCCACTCCAAAAGGAATCGATAGGCTCCGTTTTCATGGGCTGTGCAGGGCCTCACAGGAACCCGAATTGGCCGATCTCCGTGGGGGTAGACACGAGTGCGAGGTCAGGAGCACACATCTGGCACAGTCAGCAGCATAGGCCGTTCCAACAAAAAAACGCTACGACGCAATCAAAACTAGGCCTGTGCCTTTTTTTTGCACTTTTCATTCCGGCCCCGACGAACAGCAAGGACGCAGAATGTTCAAATGGCCAATGTTGCAATCTCTGTAATATACGATAAATCCGCGCCTACGTAATTAGAGCCGATTGTTGTGCCATCAGCCTTATCGACCTCCTAAGGAGTGCGATTCGGCACCATGTACGTGAACGCATCTTGCTGCAACTTCAATCCAATATGCCGTCGAGGCTGTTAATATCCTTTTGATATCCGATGAGGTCGGGGATTTTGCTGTTTGCTCATTTGCCACTTACTTGCCGGCCTCTTTCCTTCGTGACGAATCGACGTGAATTGACCTGACCGGCAAAGCTGAGACACGCCTCTTTTCGGACAAGCAGTGAAATCACTGAGACCTGGGCGGCCCCGTGCAGCATCCTGCAAAATAAATCAGGATGTCACCAGCAAGCTGCCGGAGACAACCTCAACATGGTCGATAGCAGACCTGGAAGAGGCCACTCGCATTACATCAATTCGTATGCTCTCCCTGCTGGATCCTGCTGGTGATGATGTCGACAGTGCGAGTGATGACAGATAGATTCATTTTGCTGGCGTGTTTCTCCACTTGCGAGGCCGTCGTAAAGAACCGCCGCAACCGAAAGACTGCAGAACGCGGCATGGCACCAGAGCCTGCATTTGTCCAGGCCAGGCTGGGAGAGACGCAGTCCCGGGAGTGTCCCGGGAGTCTTTGTGTGTTCAGTGTGCCACTAGGGCGGGCTGTCCGGATAATTAGTCGTTCGTGTATCGCATGATGGTGGTAATGCGTGCAGGCACTAAGGCTGGCTGCTGTCCATTTGTTTTGTGGTTGGCAGCCCCGATCGACAGGAACGTTCCAATGAGGCAAAACGACCTGACATGGTTGTGCTGCGGCCTGCGAAAGGCGCAGCTGGCCAGCCCCTGAAGATACTTGGTGTGAGTGCTCGGGCGTCTGATGTAGTGCAGTAGGGGTCACAGATGTTGGAGTTTAATCGGTAGCAGTGCATCGTGACATGTGGGCCCGGCATGCAAGCATTTGTGGAGATGAAGGTGCCTAGGGTGCGCTCCCACATGAATTATGCCTCTGCAGGAAAGGGAAAAAGCAGATGCGAAAGAGGAAGCAATGCGGCTTGGGGAACACCTTCTGCCCCGGATTGTTCAAGGACAACCAGCCTTGTGACTCCATCCGAGTGCAATGCTGGAACCGGTATCATGAGGCACTGGTAGCGGCTGGCTTCGATAAAGTTGACGACCCAGACAAGCACCGACACTGGACGTTGTCAATATCAGCAAGCAGCACTTTTGAAATTGATTGGGGACTAGACCAATCACTCCAGACCATCTTCATCAACGAGCGCCCGCTGTGCTGGGTCCATGCTACACTTGTTGCCAATCGACGCGGCTCCAAATGCCAACAGTCGACCTTGCTCGATGCACACGACTTACGAATCAAGGTTGAGACGGCAGAGGCCATCAAGACGGGCAGCAAGTGGCAGAGTTGATTGAGAACTGATTTCGCCTTTGCTCAAAATCATAGGAAGCTAAGCCTCGCTCTTTTCCAAGACTTCTGCCATGTTTAGACTTCAGACTTAGGCTGCATGATGCCGTTGTCGCCAACACGAGACCTATTCGAGTCAACGCTGGGATTCCAGCTGTGGATTCAACTGCCTCCACTTGGCTGCGTGAGAGGCTCTCCTTTGTACGGCGCGTGGACTCCAGACAACGGTATCGGAAGCGACAGACTTTCAATGCTGGCTGCCTTCATATAGATGCGGTCGTGTGCTCAGGACGGGCCCATGCGTCTTTCAAACACACATAAAATAAAAGCTATAAAGCTGAACTGCTGCCCTGTCTTCCTGGAAGCTCTCACGGCAGCCTGTAGCGTGCCTTCCTTCGGACGGTCAAGAACTCCACAAGTCCACAGCTTCGCCTAAACATTTGGAGGCTTTGACTTTCAGAGTAAGCCACGAGCACTCACCATGACTTTCTATCCATGGCTGCGGTAAGGATGCTGTGTGGAATTACTTGGGCGGTCTTGTGCGACTTCATGTGATGGTAGACATATTGGATCAGAGCTGTCGAAGGAGAGGAGTTCATGGGACGCGACCTGGGCCTATCGCGGAAGTTTTGCGAGTGGCTTGGCCGTTGATGAGCCCCAGGAATTCCAGCTGTGCGCACTGCTGATACCTATAAACTGTAAGACCAGACAGATCATCTGTGGAATTGCATAAGGCTGAGCTTGCAAGTGCAAGCTGCAGATGTCAAACTGGCTCTGGAACAGGGCATGCTGGCAACGAGGTGTGTCCCGAAGCCCCAGCCCTGCTGGACCTGTTGAAGCACCCGAGCTTTGCAGCTTAAATTTGCGAAGACTTCATGACACTGCACTGCACTTTCCATACTTTCCTGCTGTACCGGGCATGTCATAGGTGTCTTCGCCAGCTCGCGCCCCTGTGTCCTTGCTTCACGACCACAACCATTGGGTTGTCCTGACAGGTCTCTTGGAGAGACGATCTGGAAGACTGCGCGAGAAGTTTCTGGCAAGCTCTCAGCGACAGGCTCGTGCGTAATCGGTGACTGACATACCATCAACGGCGACTTGCACATGCCGTGGTCAACCGGCTAATACCGGTCACGCTTTGATTACTGCTCTGCCAGGTGTAAGCTCTGGGTAGATTGCTCAGCCACGGGCGACGGGCCAGGCGCCTCGACACGAGCTCTCACTCCCTTTTTCAATAGTAGTCTTCTCATTCGTGGCTGAATTTCGGCATATTTCTCTTATTCCTATGAATTTCTTAAAGAGAGTCCCCAGGGCAAATCGCACAACAACAACAACGACGATGACTTGTACATCGTGACGAGAGCAAACCACATGGTCAGTGTTACAGAAATTCTGGATGAGTTGTCTTCCGCGCGAACGGCTGTTGTTGTGTTTCAACTCGCGGGACTTCTTTATGGTGTCCAGTAGTGTGGCGGATCCTTCTTCATTTCCACTTCGCGCAGTGCTGCGCGCCTCAAAGGATGGGTCACGTTGAATTGTGAGTTCGAATTTCTTCAAAGATTCGGAGAAATTCAAGAGATCCAAAACAGTTTCTAGGCGGCTGGCTGCTCTACGATGGTGGCCTGGGAGCCAGGCTTTGTCAGCTGCTTTCACTTTTGTCCGTTGTTGAAACTTGGAGAATTGCGAGGCTCAACCCAGATCGTTTGGAGAAAGGTTCGGCTTCTGCAGGATCCGGAGGTGGGCGGCAGCTTTGTTGCTTGCTCAGCATAGCTGGCTGACGATCGTATTCTGCGCAAATGGCTTAGATGATGGTATTGTCACTGTCATAATCTTTGGAAGCTGGTGACCTCCACTGCTTCCAACGGCACGGCAGAAGACAATCTCATATGGCAGAAAAAGCAAGTTTGCAGGATGTGCAAGGTGCCTCCTCCCTACCCTCAAAATCTGCAGGGCCTCGTCTGGAATAAAGTCGGATGTGGAGAGAAGTCGCCTCCAACATGAACTGCAGACACCCTTAAGCGTGTATGTATGTGTGTATGTACCCCCTGCCGAGTGCGAGTGAAAAAATGTGTGTATGTACGCATGGATCAATGTATGTATTAATGTAATGTAATGGTCTGTCTGTCTGTCTGTCTGTCTATGTATGTCAATGCATGTAACCTCTGTATAGGTATATACGTCGGTAGGTAGGTAATTAATTAATAAGGTATGTTTTTGTCGGTCGTCGTTTCTCCTATGCCCTGGGTTTTTTCCCTTGTGGGTGCTAGTCTGTTGCTGTGGCATTCCTTACGAGTTTCGACAGTCTTTTGGTGATGTTGTGGGCTCACATTGCTGCGATAGCACAAATCAGTTGAAAGAGATACTGCTGAAGACGATTGTCACGAGCTAATCTGAATCCTTCCTTGCCTGGCTGTGCTGAACATCAGGCGAAATCTCTCGACCCTCAAGCCTGAAAACTCAGCAAGCAAAGCCTGTAGTGACATGCGGAGCTTTGTCCACAGGACCCCCGACTCCCTACTTGTATAGGTGGTTGCCCGATTTTACCAAGATCCGTGAGCCGCCATGCCCTGCTGCCGGTAGCTCGAAGCAGACATCAGGCTCATCTGCCATGGTGACTTGCCTTGCAGTCTTGCCAGCATCCAAAAGATCCCCGCTACTAGTGGTCGCCGCTGCCGTAGGGATGAGCCCGGTGCGAAAACCCGTGCTGAGGCCGAGGATCCCGAGGCAAGGGCTCGTCGAAGCCGCAGCCGCGGAGCGCCACCGCGACATGCAACAGCCTGCAGCGGTCACATAGCTGTGTGATTAGGCTGGAGTGCCGGCCGAGAGAGCATGTCGCAATTTCCATCAGGTCTTTCGGTCTGTGCTAGCATTAAAAGGCAGGGCAGATGGGGGTTTGTGCGCGGAGCCAGCAAAGGCTTCATCGGGCTGGACTTCGATTGCACGATAACAGTGCGACACTTCTACAAATGCTTGGCGACCGAGCTGCACAGTCTAGCAGACCCCAGCCCTGAATGCGTCATTACCTAGATAAGCTTGATGATAACCGCTTTGCTCGTGCGTAGACCTGGCATTCGGGCCTTGAGCACACGAAAAAAGACATCAGCATGGACAGGAATGTAGCCAGGCCGGAGGCCAAACCACCATTGTGGATCCTGAACCCACCCATCCTCCATGCAAACAAGGCCTGCGGAATCGTGATGGGGAAACCGTCAGCCCATCCGCACTGCCGGGTCTCGTGGCACTGACCTATGACTTTTGGGGCTTCATCCCTGCGGGATTCGGTCTCTGGCCGCTGACTCAATGGAGTCCCGTCGGTCTCAGGATTTCGTGGCATGGCTGCGCAAGGTGCATTGGGTGGGTACTCGGGTTAAGGCCTGCACAGGCCCTTTGACATGAGCTGGGGCCGCCAAAACAAACTAATGAGAATTAGACTGTTTACAGGAGGCTGATGAGCGATCCGCCCCCTGCCAGATTCAACTTGTTGCACCAGTTGCTTGTTCGACAGGCTGGCGTCACAGATCTGTCCGTGCACCAGGCACCGGACGTCCATCCGCGCCTCGCACGCACAGAATCCGGTTTCGCGATAGGACTGACACGAAACGATCTCCATGAACACTGGAGTTATTCGCGGCCTCGGCCAGCGCAAGGGCTGAGCAGGCAGGTTCGCTCTGCGGATTGCCATGAGGATCATTCTGGCAGTGGAAGCCCTGGCCAAAAGACTGGGGGAGCCGAAGTTCAAGCAGATGCTTCGCGAGGCTTGGGCATCTTGCCTTCTGGCCTTGATCCGCAGAAGCCCTGTCTTCCAACTCGCGCTGGCAAGCTGACAGGTCTTCTTTGGCGGCGAGGCGAGGATAAAGCTTCTCACGGCTTGGTTTACAGCCAAGAAGAGCGCTTCTTGTCTTCAATCAGTTTCCTGTTTGGCTACCCGCTTGTGAATAAAATGTATGCCTTCAGGTGCTGGCGGAAAGCTAGGATGTTATTGACCTGTCCGAGAGTATCTTCAAGTCTGACAACTGCTCGAAACGCCTCGTTAACCCCAGCCGGTGAAGCACTCGGGCTGCACTGGTATCCTGATTCTTTACATTTACCTCGAACTAGATCCCAGGAGGGAGCGTGCTTCGCCATCATAACTGCCGGCGTGGCCAGCTCTGTGTCCATGGCCCTGGAAGCCGTTCCGGAGTGGGTGACCCGACATGGACTGTTGACTTTTCCCATCTTCATCCCCGGTGTCTGACCAGACATGCATGCATGTCAACGCTTGGATGTTGTACTGGTCGTTCTCTCCCTTGCCGACGTCGCCTCTTGTTGAACATGCAGTGCGCATGTACGTCGCCATCCAAAAACTTCAGCATTTCGGGATGAGCACTGGCCTTCCGCATGGTGAGACTTCTGGTCTCCTTCCTGACGTTCTCCCCCCTTCGCTTCAGCCACAGCATATGGCGGGGTCGTGTTCTGACCGAGGACGACTTCTTTCCAACAGACTTGGTTCTGGATGTTGGAGCATGCCGGCACCAGGTGGGAGGGTAACTGCACGAGTTTGTGAGGGGGGTACGCAGGATCTCATAATGTACCTGCTAGTACCTGCCTTAGTGCATGCTCTGAATTCTCCGATACTGAAAACTGATATAATATGGTGATGGTCCAGACAACGTGTACACTGGGTGGGGTTCGTGAAGGGCAAACTGTTGAAAAGGCAGCCCTCTCAACAACCGACTCAGAAGGATGCCCGCAATGAGAGTTACGACAGGGAAAAGGAATCGGATGGCCCAGCTGGGGGTCGATCTTGATAGAGGTCAAGGGCTCAAGAAGCAAGCGTTGATTGGCCATTTTAGGGGCGCTAGACTTAGAATGAAGTATGGGATCCATAGGTCAGATGCAGATTGGGTTGGGAAGGTGCTTTCGGCGTATTGACCCTGAGCCTTCGAGCTATCGGGTATGAGTCTTGCAAATTCCCGCTTTTGGAAAACGGGCTTGCCAAGCTTTGGAATTGGTTCTTGTGTGACAGACCGCAAGAGGATTTACGGAAAAACACCGTTCAGCTTCACGCATGCAGCTTCGTGCTAGCGGGTGGCATATCCGTTGGCATCATGCCTTAGCATCCAAGTCCTCAGCTTCATGCAAGTGGTTGCGATTTATCATGATTTCCACTGCATGGGACGCGGGGGGCTTGCAGCCGTCGTCGATCAAACATGTGACTGTGACGCCAGCAGTACCTTCAGTGCCAAGCTTTGCATGGACAGCGGAAAGTAAGGGTTTCGGATTCGGGGCGAGAGCTAGGGCAGGAAGGTCGAGTCGAGCCGGTGTCGAAATCCAAAGGTCCGTTGTAGAGAGGAGCATGTCGCATATGGCATGTATGGCGCAACATCACAGAAGCAAAGATTAGCAAACAGTTGCCGCTGGCTCCTCCGAGTGTGCGAGTGCGAGCCGCCCACCCTGAGGTGATGTCCGTCACCGGGCAGAAGTCGCTAATGTTGCGAGACCTACGTCCGACAATCCCAAGGCAAGGCTTCGAAGTAGAGTTTCATTGTAGAGTGCCTCGCCCCTCAGGCACAGTAAGCCTCACTTCCTGTCATGAGCCCCGTCATGGTCATTGTGCGAACACAAGCTTCGCCCAGCGTATTCCGGTTCCAACCCCCTGACTTGCCCTGGCAGCTCAGGATTCTCCTGGTAGATGATTCTCTTGGCCCCGAGCTTAAGAAGTTCTGTTTCGAAAGTTGGAGGCTGAAGCATCGAAAGTTGCTGGTCCAAGTGAAGCAGTTCTTTTGCACCAGTGCTATGTACGACTCGGAGTAGTGCGATACAAGCGGAAACATGCAAAGGGAAGCAGTACTGTAGTATTGAAGCAGTTCCCAGCTTCCTGCACCTTTAGCCTCAGAACTCCACGAGTGATTTTTTTTTTTTCGGCAAGCTCGTGGGAGAATCGGAGAAATCGAAAGACAAAGACCACCACCTTGTCACGCATAACTCATACAATCGTGCCGCTGGAACTTTCAGGCGAGGACCCTCCTCCTGCATGGTGGGGTGCTCAGTCAATGCACCACGCGCAGCCTCAAGGCTTAGGAGCTTCCACGCCTGGAGGTAATGCCCGTTCTAGGCTTGACAAGCTGTTGCACGAAGAAAAATGACTGCGGAGATGTGCGGAGTAGTGATCAGCACTGAGAATGTTGAAAGGTGCAGGTCTAGGTCACTAAGCAGCAAGAGCGAGGAATGACAAATCGGATGACAATGACACTTGTGACCATAGCATTGTCAGTCAGTGCTCACCACCACGACCACAACCAAGACGGCCGCCGGCACCACCACCAAAGCCACAGCATCCGCCACATCCGGCACATCACTTTGACAGTCATTTTTTGTTACCGTCATGGTCATGGTCGACTTAGCATGCAGTGCCCGTGACTACAAGTGCAACCCCCTCGCAACCGCATACGACATCAAGATTACTCCAAACCGCAAGGTCGAATGGCTTTGAACAAAACATGTATGACTGGTGTGCTGGAATCTGGAAGTGGCTGAGGGTGTTGCGTCGCAGCCAGGCACGGGTCAGAATAAAAATGTGTTTGCCATGCATGTCTGCCTGCTTGTTCCTGGGTGTCATCTGCGTGGTCTGTAGGTCTTTGTCTTTGAATAGTTCATCACCAGCTCCAGTATAAGCTGATTCTGCCCGCAGCGTCGCAAGCGGTTGGGAGGGTTGTGCGGTGGAGGTGATCCCCGTTGCGTTGCCTTACGAGGGTCAGGGTCTCGACGATGAGTCCCTAGCTCGGCACCCAGTTCGCCTGTCTTTGCCTTGACCGCATTACTAAATTTTGGACATGAAGTCGGGAGACGAGGGAGGTCGGACTGCAGCTCCAGATTCGTTGAAGTGTGTCTCAACTTCAAGCGTCAACTAGCGGCAGTTCGCACCCCGCAACAGCCACGAAGGCACGAATCGATGTGGCGCTGCTGGGCACTTGAGCGTTTACTCACTGCATTGTGGCCGAGATCCTGCGCAGCACATGCTGTGGTCAAAAGGCTCTGCAGTGATTCGCGACGGTAGACTGGCTGCAAGACCTTGCGGAATCTTGCATCCCTTGCCCTTGAGCATGATGCAGGCGGCAAGCTGCTCTCAAGTTTTCAGCAGCGAACAATACTCTCCGAATGCCGAACTAGAGAGTCTAAAGCATCCCAGAGCACTGGGCTCTTCACGGAACAAGCTAGGTGTTGACGGAGGCTTTAGTGGCCTGGTGCCCCCATGCACTCCGTCGCAGCGCCATGTCCTGGAATGGCTGGGGCTGGCCGTGGCAACAGCAAACCTGGGGGACACTCCAACTCCTGTGCATGTGCATCGCTTTGGTTTGCTCCGGTCAAAAGCCCTTGCAAAAGTGTAGCTGGTGGGCCAGGAGGCAGCAATGCAATGCACTTCGTCTGTCAACCAAAAGCGCTGAGACACTTGGAGGAGCAACAACTGGTGGTCGCGCCCATCCGAGCCGAAGCTCTGCTGTACGTTCTTTCTTACTGGGTTCTCTGTAGCGAGCGAGAAGCGAGAACAGGCAGTAAGAGAACATGTCCACCATGGCGAACTCCTCCGCAAGGTATGGCGACTGGTGGTCTCAGTCTAAGGCTACGGAAGAGCTTGGGCACAGGCAGATGCCAGCTATTGCAACGAACTATGCTATGCTTGCTGCATCAACATCTCAGAAATTGACTGGGAAAGCTTGTATTTTGTGGATTGACTAGAGTTGCAATTGCCTGCAAGGGTGTCTGGCGACCGTGAGCAGAGCAAGGCTTTCATGCAGCAGGAGCTGCCAAGTTCTTCGGCACTTTTCGGCAGTTCGCCAAGATGCAACAGAGTACACTAGACATCAGGAGGGGGGCCCTTCTTCGGCGGCAGCCACATCGGAGAACCCTGATCCTCGGCCAAGGTGCTTCTGCGCAAACCATCAGAAACCATCTCCAAGACCGAACACTGCTGTTGATGGGCTGGCTGTGTGTGTGTGTGGACCTCTGTTACCAAGAGGAACCGTTTTTGAAACACGTTGGACAGTTGTGCTGAATTACAGAAAATTGCAGGGGGCAGAGGGTCTCATTTCACGGCCTCTGCCAACGAAGCTCCGTGATATTGAGACAGGTAAACGTACCTGCAGTGGTCGGCATGGGCACTTTCGTGCAGCTTGTGACCACACAACTGTTGATTGCGAGTAGGAGTGCAGTGCAGTTTCATGTGCATGTCTGGGAGATTTTGCCTTGTACAGTGGAAAAGTCAGAGATCAAGTGAAGATGAGCCTTGAGGCCAGATAGGTACCGGACCCCCTGGAAGCTTCATGCTTTCGAGATACATCAAGCTGTGCTTGATAACCAGATTGATTAGTGGCTGCGCGATGGATGTCTAAGTGTGTCCCAGGTAGTTACAAGCTGGTCTTGTATTCTTTTGCCGCGCTACCTGCGGCGGGGTTAGCCCGTGCGAGTACCTGCCAGGGTGGATCTGATAAAGGCAGGGATACATTGTTTTGGGCCCGTCGTGGTCCTCACAGGTCCGACTGAATTTGCTGCTCCGATGGTGCAGACATCTGATTACTTCAGTCGCGATGTTTTCTCTGCTCCTGACTTAATGTCAGGTTTGATGCCAGGTTTCATTGCAGGTCCTGAATTTTTGCAGATCCGATGGAACCAACGGCTTTTCTATCCGCAGACCACGATTTCAGCTCCGAGACACAAGCCTGTAGCAATCTTTTGCGATCAGGTCGTGGACCCGTGAACAAGATTGGGCCAAGTCGTCCTGGGCTAGTTCGTCTTGGGAGAAGAAAGGATCGTCGGGTTGGAACAACCGTGACTGGCAAAAATCCCCTCAACAGTCTGTTCCCAGCACCAATGTTGCCATCCCATCGTCTTTTACCAGTGACTGGGAGTGTTACGACAAGAATGCTATTTCTGGCAAGAAGTTCTTTCGTAACATCCAATCCACGCCCTGGTCTACGAAAGCTGGACTGGCTGGAAAAGATGTCGCCGATCTTCGTGTCTCAGACCTGGCGAGAAAAGGTCTTGATGACTTCAGTCTCCGCTGTTTGTCCAATGGAGAATTTCAGAGCTTAGTATTCGTGAGGTCGATTTCAGAAGCAGTGTTTGTGACTAACCTGCTTCGTCACATTCGGCAAGACCGGATTGATCTTGATGCCGTGGCAGCAAATATGCACGGCCCAGCTCCGCCTGACAAGCACAGGGAGTCTGCGAGATTTATGCAACCATTGCTTGGCGAAATTGTTTCAACAATCAAAGCCAATTCGCCTCCTCCGGCGGATTCAAGCCAGCAATCGCCTGAGAGTGAACAGCTTGCTCGTGCGAAGCGAAAGTTGAAGGAAGCTGGGATTGCTCTTACTCCAGAGAAGAAGCAGGCCAAAACTGGCCCAAAGCCCACCGCTTCACCTTCACCGTCAGCTGAGCAGATTTTGAATGCGGAACTCCCGAATCCGCCGAACTCTGTTCCGAGTTCCAGCTCCCCTGATGTTGTTGAAAAATGGCTCAAGAAGCATCAGAGCCAGTTTCGTGGTCAAGCTGCAGCTTTTAAGAAACATGTGGCTGATGTTTGCTCTGTGCTGAAAGATTCAGCCACTGATCGGCAAAGCCTGGCAGATCTCGCTATCAAGTACGGCTTGAAGAAAAGCCATGCCAGCAAGATGTCATTCACCAATTTGTCTTCGTTCATTGGTGCATGTCAGTTTGAATCAGCTTGACTAGCTACCCAAGCAAAAACGGTGCAACATCAGCCGATTCAGGTCCGTAAGAGGCTTGCTTCAGCAGTGTGCACGCTTGGTACAGCAGCAGCTTTCATGTTGGAGTTTGGCGATGGAATACCCAAGACTCCGCTGATTTGGGTGCATACATTGATGTCGTTGGTGTTGTTGTTTTACCTCAATGCACCCAGCCAGGATGATTCACACAGATTCAAGATTGTTCGGAGATTGCAGCAGTTCGGAGTGGATCCAGATACTCTGCATTATTCTCTGTTTGAGAAGCCGAACACTGTATATTGCATTTTTCAAGTTGATTTCGACATGGGTCGATTTCGTTCGGGCTACCGTCAGCCCTCATCACTTCTGTATGTGGGAAGCACTGCTGTCGGTGCAGCCAAGCGGCATTTGAACCGCATGGCAGTCTACAGAAGACTTCAAAGAACCGAATTTGTGGATGCAGAATTGTCCCTGAGATATTGGGCATCCCAACACAACCTTTTCCAGTTTGTGCTTGTTCCGCTGGAATTTTGTGACAGCTACCAGCGAGCTTGGACTGTTGAGCACGAACTCATTGCTCAATGGCAGGCACCTTTGAATTATCCGAGAGCAATGTCTCTCATTAAAAGACCGCTCTCGGTTTCCGAATTTCGTCCAAACGCAGAGGGTCATTGTATTGCACCTTTGGCCTCCGACTTTGGCGCAAACTGCGAAAGCGCATGTTTGGTCGCAGTTCGAAATTCTTCATTCATGACTCTCGGGAGTTAGCCTGGGGGCTTCTGTTTAAGCTGGCATCGAGAACCCGAGCATCCTTTGAAACAGCGAAGCTGCTCCGATCCAACAAGACGGCTGACGAGGAAGTGTATGCCCTCATCAAACTCAGTCGCAATATCGAAAACCCTCATCGCAACAGGGTGCAAGGAATACTCAAAGGTGTAGCCAAGTTTCGCAAGAAGATGCACTGGCCACGGACTTCCCGACCTTTGGGAGTCCTGCCAACTGCGTCTCCTTCGTTTTCCAAGGAGTGCGAGAAGTGGTTAAAAGACCTCATCCTCCGGTACAAGTATCTTTTTCCATCTTTTCATGTTCCAAAGAACAGCCTACGTGAAGTTCCGCACCAGAGTATCAAGAAATTTCTCCACAACTTCCGATCTTGGGAAGAAACGATGTGGGAGCACGACTTTGATTTGGAGTCGGTGCACTGTCCGTGTGAGCAGTTTGCAGGAAAACTTCCTGCTCATTGCTTCGTGTCTGGCCACGTAGCCACAGGTTTGGAGAACCTGACCAAGCTACTACCAGGCTGTTCGAGCATCTTATCGGCCAGTGCCGCGAGCACCTTTTTCCCAGGCCGCAATCACTGGATGGCCAAGTCCAGAGCTCTGTTTGATCAGTGGCTCAAGAGACACAAGCTACCAGCGACGTTGCATCCAATTTTTCAATCCTTTTGTGACCACCAGTGGCAGCAACATGTTGCAGCCCTGGAACAATCAGACAGACTACACTGGGCTTTGGTACAGAAGGTGAAGTCTGCCTTGCACTCAGATTTTGTTCTGTACAACGAAGATCATCATCCGAATCATGTCGTGTGCTATTGTCCTCGCTTCTTCCTTCGAGGAGTTAGCACCACATGGAACGATCCCTCTGTGTTTCGTACTCTTGATGGTACCCCTGAAGAATGGAGACAGCGCATTTTGGAGCGCGTTCCTCGAGATCTGTCCAGAAGATACGCCTGGGCCTTCAAAGAAACAGCTCCGCTGCCTCAAGGCACTGTGTTCCTGAAACGGAAGAAACAGTTTGCCAAGGGACGGACCATCATTTCGTATTCCAATTCGTTGTGCAGCAAGCTATTGGAGCTGACCTCCATTGCGTTAACCTTAATGGTCAAGACGCTGTTTGCTGACAGCCCAGGCATGCAGAGCATGCCACAGCTCTGGAGGTCTCTTCATGCTTATTGGGCGAAGCCCAGCCAAGAGGAAGACGTCGAATGGAACGACGATCTCGTGGGATTTTTCAATGCAGTTCCCCGAAAAGACATCATGCACGCAGTGCATTTGATTGTCCAAGAATACTGCCAAACTTCTGGCTGTTCGATCCTCTCGATCGATATGTTGTCAAAAACGGGACACCCGGGCAAACCTCGGGGGAGAACGAAATCAAACTTAAAGAGGTGTTGGGTTTCTGATGTTCCGCTGATTGTGGATCTATCCTTCGCCACGGGAGTTTTTACAGCTGCTGGAAAGTGCAGGCAGCAAGTGGAGGGGACGTGTATAGGCAATCAAATATCGCCGATCCTCTCCGGACTTCCTGTACTCCTGGCCGAGCGGCAGTTTTTGCAATCTTTGCCGACGGCCATCCAATCGTCTTTCTTGTTTCTCCGTTACGTCGATAACAGACTGATTCTGGGACCTCAGAAAATTCTACTGTCGTCCCAACTCCGGAGATTCTGTGATCCTAACTTTTATGATGGGATTCAGTTGGAAACTGTGTCAGACCATCAATGGTTGGGTTTTACCATTTGCGCCAAGACTCGCTCAGCAACTTTTAATCTCCCGGAGCAACCATGGCAGATCCGCTCGCCCAACAGCGCTGGATCGTGGCAGCTGGCAGCCTCGGGATACTTTTCTCGAGCATCTTTGATTCGCCAGTACTCCTGGCCTCCCGAGTCAAGACCGGGACAACTTCGCAGACTCAAGCAACTGTATGTACAGGCAGGTTTTCCTGTGAATGCGTTGCAATGAAGTCAGCAAATAAGTCTGTCGATTGAGAGTTTCGCTGCCTCTTTGCAATGTTTCTGTCCCTAATTGTGCACGTGAGCTACTGATTCAGTACCATAGCTGCATTGGTTTTCAGCTGGATATCGGCCTGTTGGAGGAATATTTCAACCCAGAGCCATGGCCCAGCAATACCATTTTCACTTCTACGGAGGACCCCCTGGAGTGCAGACTTCAAGCGGACCGCAACCTCCGGTTACAATTCTTTCGACTCCTCAGGAAGCTAGCAGAGCTCGGTCGGTTTCGGTACACCCACCACCTCGAGCTCCGCTTCCAATTCAACTCACACCGGGGGAGCCGGCCAAGTCTACTCACCCCAGCCGTGAGCGTCATGATCGCAGTCGCTCGAGACGACGACGGCGTCGACATCATCGGCATGAACGTCACCCTGAGGGACCTCCCGCGGCCCCAGTTCGACCAGTTCTGCCTCCCCCTCAGCCTCCTACTCGACCACCAACAAGGTCGGTCAGTGCTGTTCCTCCGATGCGCCCACCTTTTCGTTCGGCCAGCTTAGAAAACATGCCACCCCGGCCTAGACCGAGATCTATTGAGCCGGCTTCTGTCCGTTCTCGGCCTCATGAAAACAAAGGGCCCAGCAACAGTCCACAGCGACCGCCGGGGCAATGGGTACCTAGTGTTCCTGCTGGGAATCTGAGCCAAAGGCCAGTAACACCCAGAGTTCAAGCTCCTGCTTCGCATTCTCAAGCAGCTACTGATGCATTACATCAAGCTGCTCAAGCTTTTAGAGCTCCCGGCAATGCACAAAGCAAACCGGAGACAGGCCCGATTTTGGAGAACAAGGAGCCTGTCGCGGCAGCTGTCTCACCGGAGTTTCACAAGAACACGTCGCCCAAGACACCTCCCAAGAATCCGGCTCCAAAGAGCCCAGTTCCTCCTGCTCAATCCGGTTTGATTTCTGTTGATGAGGAACAGCTATTTCATGCTGCTCATCGCAGCAGCTATGAACAACTGCGAGAGCAAATCACAGCTCGAGCCAAAGGCCGCAATGCTGTCGATTTCTATGAGGAGGGAATGAGTTCTCTCTTGGCGTATATGTTCTTTGTTTTGCATTATCATGAGAATTTTCTCACAACTGAAGGCTTGCATACGTGGCCTATTATCCCACATTCTCATATGCGAAGATTCACTGATCGCATCACTTTTACTCGGCAACGTTCATTGCCAGTTTCCAAAATCCTCAAAGAGGATGTTGAGGATGTGCTGAAATTTTTGTTGACCCGATTTGGCCAGGCAGACCGACCTTTTCTGCCTGTGATTCCTATTGGCCAACGGGAGATTGTCACTCTTGCCCGGTCCATTTTGGCCAGCAAGATACCATATAAGGCAATTTTTCAGCATGATGCCAAGGCGTATGCCATGCCCCAAGAAGCATTGCATGTTTGGGAGTTTCCAGTGGCACATATGCCAGGACCTGAAGAGCAGACCAACTGCTATTATCTTTGGGGACACAGGACCACGGCCGAAGGCATGGTCGGCATCCTCACGTTGGGCAGGGTCATTCGCTCTAGCGCCGAAGCTGTACATGTGGCGCCGCACGATCATGTGTGCTCCTTTTATGGCAAAGCCACACAAAACGTGTACTATGAAGAGAGCAAGTTAGACTTCGTGTCAAAACTGCACCACTCCACGAAGAATTCCGCAGGAGTGGTCGTTGGAGGATATCTTGGATCTGCGCATCACAAATCCAAATCCTCCAGTACTGTACATGAAGGACACTTGTGCAAGTTCCACCCGCTTGTACACTCCCCTTCAGGAGATAAGCGCTGGGCGGTACGTGAAGCCGCAGGGCGCATCGACAAAATTTGGATTTTGTCAAGCACCCACTCCATTACGTTGCCGATGTCCACCCCCAACAATCCCCGGCCGATTACTTTTGAAACGGGGGAAGGACAGGATTGGGGAGTCAGCTGGCCGGGCTTGGAGTACTCTGTACGAAGCACCGAAGCTTTACCGGTATCCGATGTACAGAGAGAGGCTTAAGATTCATGGAGTCTGTCATGCATGAAAAAAGACTGTTGCAATACAGAATGTATATGCAGAAGAGTCTTGCATGCAATGTGTTCGCTTAGGTTTTTTAAATCGCTCTGTTCAGTTCCAGCGTTCGGCTTTCAGCGGTACACGCCATGTCGGATCGATCCCGATCGCGTTCTCCGACTGTTTCGTGGCGATTTTATTGGGTCAAAATTCAAGGACCCAGTGGCAATGAAACGTGGTGGAAATCTTGGTTTCCCGCCACTTCTCGCTGGATTTCGGACCGTTTGGCTGCTGACAATCAGTGGCACCAAGCTTCTCAGACCACTTCTTCGGTGGACTTGAACCTCCCTACTGAGAGCGCCAATTCTTTGTCACCCCGAAAACGCAAGCGAGATGCATCACCGTGAGAGCTTTTGTCATGCTGGAACAGCAGACGACTCGTCTGCTTAATTCGTTTTCCCAATTGACATTTTTGGGACTTTCATCATTACCGGATTAGAGCGCCTGCACCACTAAAGTGGAACCGTCTTTGCGCATTGCAAAACAACGCGTATGAGCGTGACGCTCAGTTTTATGTCTTTTTCGCCTTTTCTCTCTCCCCTTATCTCTGTCTCTCGTTGAGCCGAAGGCGTGTTTTCCTTTTTTACTCATGTGGTGCCGCCAGCCGTTTCCGTCTTGATTACTTGACCCACCGGCATGGCTTCCCGTCAAGACCACGGGGTACCATATGATGAACTTCCTGATGATGCTAGCTCCTGGTCTTCGGCTTTTGATCCTCCCAAAGACTCGGCACCCACAGAGGTGGCGTCTTGGGTTAAGAAGGCCTCCAGCAAGTGCAAGAAGACCAAGAAGTCCAAGAAGTCCAAAAGGCTGAAAAAGGACCGGTCACCAAACAAGTCTCAGAAGTCCATGAAGTCCAAGAAGGACAAACCTGAGCGTTCGCCCGTTCCCTCTGAAGCGAGTGATATCACACTTGGGGATCCGATGCAGTTTCACCGAAATCCTGCAGCACGGTCGAAGGCTTGTGCAAAAATGCTGGTCAGAGCCAACCTCCGTTGTGCTTGCCATTTTTGGTATGTTGCACAGTGTCCCAACCGAAACGTTTGATTCTTATTTTGATTTGGACACCGGACGTGTACAGGATTACATGTCACTTGCTGGGAAAAACTACCAGTGATTCTTGGCATGACCTTGTGACCTGACTTACATTTTTTCTGTCCTGCATACAGTGAGAGCATTTGCCTGTACAGTTTTCCTGCTCCCACTCATCAGCGACCCAGTGTATGTGTAGCTTTATCCGCCATGAAACGAGATGCAGCACAAGCGTCGCTTCCACCCGATGGCGGTAAAGATGATGATCCACTTATTCTCCCTCGGACACCGAAACATCTGCCTCCGCTGCGGATGACCCGAGGATTTTGGATTGAAAATTTGCCTTCTGACGGCCGCCACCATGGGGCCGCCGTTGCATGTTTCGACATTCCGGCCGAAGGCATTATCGACGACCTTAAAGAGGCTATCAGTTTGGAGTGGAGTCGCATCCCCAAGCGTGCGTTTAAACTCACGCAAAGCGGGACTCATTTACCATACTACGTCAAACTCAGTACTGTCAACAACACAGTACCATTGACCTTTCACTGGGCTGAGCCATATTCGGACGAAAACCGTCCTCGTTTGGAGTCCAGACCCTAGGTCGTTTCGCCTTAGTGGCTTACTGTGTGTGTGGACCTCTGTTACCAAGAGGAACCGTTTTTGAAACACGTTGGACAGTTGTGCTGAATTACAGAAAATTGCAGGGGGCAGAGGGTCTCATTTCACGGCCTCTGCCAACGAAGCTCCGTGATATTGAGACAGGTAAACGTACCTGCAGTGGTCGGCATGGGCACTTTCGTGCAGCTTGTGACCACACAACTGTTGATTGCGAGTAGGAGTGCAGTGCAGTTTCATGTGCATGTCTGGGAGATTTTGCCTTGTACAGTGGAAAAGTCAGAGATCAAGTGAAGATGAGCCTTGAGGCCAGATAGGTACCGGACCCCCTGGAAGCTTCATGCTTTCGAGATACATCAAGCTGTGCTTGATAACCAGATTGATTAGTGGCTGCGCGATGGATGTCTAAGTGTGTGTTTTCGCCCAATGCGCTGGCAGGGTTGCTAAGCCATCACCGCCGGAGACGGCGGAAAACCTGAGGACCTTGAAAGTGTTGCTGCATTCGCCCTTAGTTCCAAACCTTCCTGTCCACGGAGCTTTGCTGGCAGTTGCAATTGGCGTCTCGGCGTCTCGGGCTCGGAATCGCAGGAGCACGCCGCAACTGGATGCAGTGACTCCCGAAAGTTTTTCTTCGCCGCCAGCTTCGACGTGTCTCGGTTCGCATCGATGCGTTCAGCACACATCCTTTGGCCTTGGACAGAAAGCACTAATACTTTCGGTCGCACCATGTACCCAAGGGCTTCTCATCTCCGAGACCACAGCGTTTCCCAGAGGACAGTTGCCAATCGCGAAAACCAAAATGCGGTGTCAGCACGCGGTGGCAACTGTGACATCCATTCATGCTATTACCCCTTCCTGCACAGCTTCTAGGCCTGGAATGCCATCAGACCACGGTGTGACCGGTATCAGTGACAGGACGAAGACCGACCTCAAGCCTGAAACAAATCTCCCTCAGCATCTCGGCCGTGGAGTAGACGTTGACTTGGGTCCCGGCTCAAGTACTGGAGGTCCTTGGAGGAGTCCGAGTGGTGGCTGGGTGTGGACGAGGCGACCAGGCAGCGGCTCACGGTGCCGGAGCTGCAGCGAGAGCTTTCTGGAGAGAACTGCCACGTGAAAAGCTAGATGAAAGCCAAGGAGGAGTTACGAGATTGGCTGCGCAGCATAAGTCCAACGTTCACCTGCTATTTCCAGATAATGGAAGAGAACTACGCTCCGGCCTGAGCTCTGTTTGATCCAAAGAACAGTGAAGACGAGAAACTCTGAGAGCTTCTTTACGAGGTTTGAGGTAATCTACATAACTTGATTTAGCTGTATTTGGATTTTGAAACTTCGGCCAAGGACACAGTGGACCAAATCTGTCGGCTCTACCTCATAGAGGAGACTCCCTCAAAGTGTTACTTGACATCCTTTGGACTGGAGTTGGCCGATCGATGAGCCTCGCCGGGCCAACGGCGACTGCGATAGACCAGCACTTCACGGCCGTTGCCATGCTCCCTAGCCACAGCTGCTGTTTGGAATGCATGCACCGTATTCCACTGGTTCTCTCTACCAGCAGGAGGAAGACGGAGAGTCCAAGAATGACAAACGGCTGGACCCGCTGTTCTTTCAGGACAATGGCATTAACGATCCGGAGCATCAGCGCTTGTGGCCTGCTGTTGAAACCATCTTTCAAATCTTTTTCGACCTGTCATGGCATGTCGTGCAACATAAGGCTGACAAGGGTCAGCCCCGAGGTTTCGCCAATGGTTTGCTTCAAAGTTCAGTCTGACTGCTGACGAGAGCAAGGCGACAGCTTCCTTGCGAATCTCCCTCCTGCCGTCATCGTCCAAAGTAGTAAGTGATTCGGCTTGCAGAGCTGCCCGGCAGGCTGCGGATCCTGCCATCCCTCCGGAGTTTACTTCGAAAGCCGAGCAGGCTTTCACGGCGGACCGAAGTCACTGCAGCTGTTGACAATTGCCAAGATCGGCTGTTTAGAAGCAGGTGGCTGCTCAACCGGCTCTTGTTCACGATGCAAGAGGCAAGACACGGACGGCACGATGCCTCTGGGTGTACGGTGACCTCGATTTTCTCTGCCAGGCATCTCTGCAGCTGCTAGCAGCAGCGCACGCGGCGAGGATCCCTGGACCACAGGCAAAGATCCCTGGGCTCAGGGCCGCTTGGAGGCGTTCGTGTTACTAAATTGTGGGCCAAGGCGTCCCGGTCGTTTGCAAGGCTTCTTGAGTCAGCCAGCCATGCAATCCTGGTGCCTTTCCGAAACACCACACTAGCAGTGTGTTGCCTTATCCCTATAACCTGGACGGCCAAGTTAAAGCAGCCTGCTGTCGTAGCTCTTTTACAGCTTGCCGTGCATCTGTTTCTGGAGATTTCTTGAGCAATCAGCCGTGTTCAAGTTGCTAGTCTGGCGCAGTGCCCGAGGTCGCGAAGCCGCGAGCTTTCGGAGTCGCAACTTTCCTGAGATGCTGTCGTCATTAGTCCCGGAGTCTTGCCAACTTGTCGACCCCATAAGGAAGGGTTCAGTAACTATAGGCGGCATGGAATGAACGAGCCACCACTTCGGAGCAGTGTCGCGTCTGGTTCTCTCCCTTTCCGCAGTTTTGCGTTGTCCGCTTTCGGTGTGGTTCCAGGCTCGCAGCCGGTCCGCAGCGCGCGCGGCAGGAGCCCGGGCAGTCCAGGCCTGTGGAGCCTCCAGTGAAGAGAGTGTTCTGGCAGAAGCCGACGTAGGCCGCTTCTGAGCGGGCCCGTCACGTCATTGGCACACTCAGCAACACCTGAGTTTCAAGTTGCTTCCTGTCGCTCTCGTTCAGGCGCCAGGGCATCTGAGCTCCAACAACGCGGCTCGGCGCGTGCAGCGTCGCGGCCTGCCATGTCCCATGCAGGTCTGGCCATCAGTTCTCGAAGAGTATTCTTGCATCTTCTGGGCCCTGCACCTGCCAGCTGCCAGTGTTTGTTCGCATGTCAAGGTTGTCTGGGGCTCGATGACCGAAGAACTCAAGGCCCATGATAGCAGATTATTGTTTCATGAGTTCTTGCGATCTTGGCAGATCGCGACCATGATATTCATCGTTCTACATCGGGCCTCCAATTCTCCTATGTGTCTTTGCAGTCTTTGAACTCTTCTGTTGCTTTGAAGCTTTCACGATACCGAGCCTTTGCAGCCAGCACACGCAGCTGCGTCATTGCAAGGCCCTGGCTTACTCTCACAGGAAGTATGTCCGTGTAAGTCGGTGAAAGTCTTCACAGGTCCGGCAGCGGTCAGGGCGGCGGCACCGAACCAGATGCTACCCACAGGCTACACGTCAAGAAAAGTTTCGTCCAATGCTGGTCCCATGAGACGCATCTATGAGTTCTCACCAGGGCCTGACCGGGCGCATAATGGCTGGTTAAGCTCTTATCTAAGTCTCAAGCTGCAAGGCACGGCAGTGGCACCACCTGTGCCGGCAGCAAAGTCTGCTGACGGAGCGGTGAAAGGCGAGGAGACACGATTAAGGATTAGGTGATTAGGGCTTCTGTTTCTGTAGGCAGTAACAGTGGCTCTTGAGACGACGATGAGAGCCCAGGCCAGCGTGAGGCTGCCAACCCTGAGCCCTTGGAGCAGGGTGGACCTAAAGGCTGCTTGACTAGCTTGTTTTCATTTATGGCAACAGCAAGCAAGCAGCAAGCAATGGTGCGGAGTTCCTCGGGACCCTTAGACTTTAAAGTTAGAATCGACTGGCAGCCGACGGATGGGCACAAACATCTTTCTCCTGTGCATCAGAAGCCAGCACTACGCCGCTAAGCGAGAGCCCAGGCCCAGGCCAGACAGCCCTCCATGGAAACTACAGCCACTGGGGAGCCGCTCGCCGCAATTGGTTGCTGGCAGCTGCCAGCCTGCAGGATCAGGCTGACACTACCTGGCGCGGTGCCGCTCAGTAAGAAAGGCCATTCAGTGCGCATGAGGAGGCGTTGAGTAGATGAAGGCCGTCTGAGTCACCGTGATAGGACAGAGGCGGAGTCGAGCCTGTCCCGGTTACACCGTCCTACTTTTGGATACTTGTGCATTTCTCTTCCTGCTAGAGCCTAGAACCGTTGAGCCAAATTTCCGGTCGAGGACTCTGCTTGGAGCCCGCAGTGGCCGGAAGCTTGGATTTTCCATGGAAAAGCTCGAGCATGACAAGGCGGCTTACGTACAGATTGGCTTTTGGAAGGCGTTGGCAGCTTCACAAATTCAAAGCCATACGTACAGCAAACTGCGAAGCGTGGTCAATCCCGGCGGGACAGCGCTTCAAGAAGTGGGTGCTGTTGCAGTGAAGAGCAGTCTTGTGTTCAGGTTGATTCACGACCCATCCTTCTTGTGGTGCTCTTGTGGTCTTTCGAGTGCTCTTGGGGATGCTGTTGGAGTCTGGGAAGTATTTGGGGAAATTACAGTTTGGAATGCTCTCGGAGCGCTTGAGGCACTTGGAATGATTTGGACAGGCTTCTGGGCTTCTGAAGCACTTGCCTGCAAGAGCCTTGGTGGGGTGCTTCAGGCAGGATCTTGGAATGCAGAGGAGATCTGGCAGCAGGTGCCATGTCTTTTCCCGAGATTGAGTTGGAGGACATCGCATGGGTGCTGGTGCGATATTCCTCGAAGGTTCAATTGGGCAGGTTAAGACCAAGTTGAGATCCTCAAGGAACCTGAGGGCGCCGGAAACCCTCATCTGCGCGCCGAGTTTTTCAAACAGGACTCCGGGGTTCACAGGTGTTCTATGAGCTTTGAGCTTCCAACACGCGAATGTAGAACCCGATAGATCTGGAGATCATAGGTTGCATGGGCTTCAACGTTTTTCAGTGCCCATGTAACACCAAAAGCAGGAGTACACAGAGCGCGTGTGGTTGAAACCACTTCTTCCCAAGGTCAACATGGTCCTGGTCCTGGAATGGCTGGGGCACACCCAGCGGATGGCCACGTGGATGGCAGTTGGGATCCATCTCAGCGCAAGCCTGGTTTAAATGCCAGTATGAAGACGTGCTCATGGTACGAAACCATTGGGAGAGCTAGACGCAGCCTGCTGCTACACTTGATTGGTAGATTTGCAAACTTGGGGCTTGCGCATGCTGCGGGCTGTTTGCCAGGTGAGGCAAGGAGTGGCTGCGCGGTGCCGTGGAAAAAGACTCCGTCTTCTGGCTTGTTCTGACCTTCTGGACGAATTTTAGCCTTGCAGGTAGGGAGGGAACACTATCTATGGTATCAGAACAGGATCTTGTTGAACCAGTCACAAATTCCTGCTGGCTCTAGACTTGTTAGGACGGCCGACTGAAGTCGACGGAAGCTCTCGAGAGCTTCAGGCTAGTCTGAGCTTCCCGATCTGCCGAAGCATGTGGCTCAATCGACTGTATCGCTTGCATGACACATGGTTCTGCTACACCCTGCTATCATCTTCTGCTAGAAATACTTGATTCCGGTGCATGGCACTGCTGCATGAACCCATTCATTGCCCCTCTCCAACTTCTCGCTTTCATGAAGCCTGATGTCGGAGCCCTTGCCCCCTCTGACGTCGTCTTCCGCGAGAATACGCCCAACGCAGCCAAGTGGGCAGCCCGTGTCTTTGCACCTCGACATTTCGACTTGCGTCGAATCTTCCGGCTCTTGGCACTCGCCAAGTCGCAGCGTGAGCATGGTTTTCTCGCCAGCCAGCGAGTGATGCTCGGAAAACATGTCGCTATAGGCACTAATCTGGTGGAGCCGAGGCCTGTGCGTGAGCCACCCGAGCATGCCAGACATACCTATGGCTCAGTGGAGCTGTGCTTGCCAACTCCTCGCCACACTGTGGTGGCCTCGCTCTTGTCTATGGTCTTCATGACTGCAGGCGGGACTCTGAGCTTTATAACCAGATCGGCTCTCGTACTGACCAACAGCTTCAGGCGATGATAAAAGTTGCTGTTGCTCCTTCATCATTTTGCCGACTTGTCGGGAGTGGCTTTGGCCGTGCTATACGCAGGGAGTAGAAAAAGGTAAAGGCTCATCATGCCTCAGCTGCTTCATAGGATTAATGTTCCGTTGCAAGCTCCTGCTCTCCTCCGCTAAGACTTGGAGCAAGACAGAACGAGGCAGAAGCATCGATCTGCTGCTCTTGTCAGAATACAACTCACGAGCCTTGAGCGGGGGGTTCGCCTCGAATCACGGATCTTGACGGGGCATGAGGCCTGGTGGTCTTCGCCATTTCGGAGCAAGGACTGCCAGGCTGGCCTTCATTCAATTTTGCTGACTGGCTACTGAAAGAGTCTCCATGCGCCCCGGCGCGAGTGGCCGGCAGGCATCCCCAAAAGCCACGGCCTTGCCGTGGTGTTGCGTGTTCTCGGCTGGACTGTCATGTACTTCGTGCCTGTGCATCACATTGCAATCGCCAACATTCGCGGCTTCACATTAACTGGCATCCGCCCCGGTGACACTGCGCTCGTGTGCAGCAGGACCGGGCAACACAGAGAGCGAAGCTTCGTACGAGACATCATTTAGCAACATCGCACAGAAGCCATTGATGACTTGGATTGACTTGGTATATATAAGATACTCCCTTGTACCACTGCTGATGTCCTTGTACGACTGCTGATGTCGATCAATGTCGCACATGTCCAGTCCTGTGCACAAATTTCAGGACGGCTCTGTCGCCGACAATATCCGCGGAGTTTGCTGGCAAGCACCACCTCAGCACACGAAGAGCCTGGCCACCTGGCAGCAAGCATGCTGCAAGGGTCCATGAGATTGTGCAAGTACGCATGTGGGCACATATCATGGTAAGCTGTCGCTGATTTGCCACGACGTTGAACAGAAGAATTGCCGACTGGACAGTGAGGTGTGGTGCCGCATTAATGATTGCTCTCTTCTTCTCCTTGTACGCGGGGTTCTTTGCGCTCTACTTGGGGGAGGCTGCATGGTAGCACGCTCATGGCCATGTTTCGAAAGCCGATCAACACGAAGCTGCTTGTAACGGACATGCATGAAAGTGTGCTGCTTCTGACTCTTGCCGACTGAACGATCAGGTTTTTGCAGTTGGTCCCTGTAATGTCGTTATTGTCTTGTGCAATCGGTCAAGAGCGTTGAAGCCTGTATGTGCGTAGTGTTCGCAGGAGTATCAGCACCCTGGCTTCGTCTTGGCCTACGGCGTGGGACACATAGTCGTCATCGTGGTGGGCGAGGCTTTGTTCGGCTTCAGAGACTGTCGTTTTGGGTTTAGGGCCATCAGTTCGCACTCGGAAAAGGCCGTGGGTGCGAAGTGCCACTTGAAGCCGCTGGACGAGAGGTATGCATCGTGATTCGGCGGTAAAACAGAGGGTGGTTTCGCAAGGTGCTTGAGGCATCAGTGACTGGCGGTAACCTAAGCCCTTTGCTAGGGCCCTAGGTTTTGCAGATTCAGCGGACCAGCAGCATGCACAACGTAAGGAAGATGGGGCCTTGCACTCTGGGGCCAGCCTTGGTGCCTTGCCTTATGCTTATGTAAAACGACACCTGCAGGCGAGACACAGTGCAGCGACGCCTTGCATCCCCATCATCGCTGGCCTGCATTGTTGTTAGTTTGGGTCAGTAAAACAGCTGTTGAGATCCGCCGAGTCGCAGCAAGTCTCATTTCGCAAGGTCGGGTTTTTTATCGGAACCTCCGGCTACGGAGTGGCCAGACGACACAGTGGACCATGGCTAGGCCGAGTGCCGTGCTGTGAAAGGGGTGTAATCCCAGTGCCGGGCCAGCTCGGAAACAATTCAACACGCAGAAGCTTTTGGGTGGGCGGTCATGCATGGCGAGAGTCTGCTGTCTTTCATTGTTTTGTCGTAAGCTTCAGTGGAGTATGGAGTGGACCCTGCGACCTCTTCTCTGTCCGAAGACGCAGGAGGAAGTCAAGGAACAGTTGCGGAGCAAAGTGAAGCCATCCACATCATCCCACAACATCCATAGGCTATCTAGAGCACCCAGCCCCTGCGGAAGGTGCGCTGATGCCCTTCATGCTGAGCGGTTACGAGCTGCTGTGCTTGCACATCATCGCCAGCACCTTCTCAGCCGAGTACGTCCAGGCGCGGTTGTTTACTTACAACCGATCAAGACAGGGTGAAACGCCTCCCGACGCTAGAGGAGAAAGCCGTCCGCCAGAAGCCCCTGGTGCTGCATTTATAGTGTAGTCGAATGTTTGGCCAAAGCAGTAAACTGATCGGCACAAACAGAAAGCTGCCTCCAAGCATGAGGTCTAGTGAAATCTTGCCTGTAGCTTCATACAGCTGCCCTTCCCGACCACTTGAGACCCATCGTTTCGTGCAGACAGGGTTTGGCGATGTGATATCTCGATGCTGTGGCATGCTCCGCAAGTTCAAGCATCTGAGGTATTCTCAGGACAACCAGGGAGTCGTGATTTCTCTGGCCATTGCTATGATCCACGCTTTAGCTGAGGGTGCAAGGCTCACATTGATTTTGGCTGCTCAGCTATATACCTCTGCAAGCTTTGACGTTGGCTGGGTGTGTCGGTGGGGAGCTAGGGGAATCGGCGGGGCTGGGCTGCGGGGTAGGTATGGTGGGTCATGCGACAATGAGGAAGGGCAGTAGAGCTGATGTGTTGCTCAGCATGCGCAAAGGTGGATGTATCTGGTAGCTCGTTGCAGAATGAGCAGCTGCTTGATCGTCTCGTGCTCTTTAGGTGGACATTGCTCACGACGAGAGACATCTTGACTTCCTGGTCCCGATTTGTTCTGGAGTCGTGTGGAGCCATGGCTGAATCGGGGAGCTTGGTTCAGTTTTCGGCATATCGGCCAGATTCGAGCGGACGTTTCTGCTCTTGCCTCCGTGTCTCATAACGCCTTTGTGCTGATTTGCAAAGTCTCTTCCTGCGGTTTGCTTACATTCCTTTCAGAGTTAGTGCAGTCCACCTCCGCCGTCCAGGAATGCTACGGTTCGTGCCGGATACCTAGATCGTTTTGCAGCTTTTGCTACATGCGGCATCCTGGCAGCAAGAGCTTGATTCTTTATGCCGGCCTTGCCTTGTCCCGTCGCCGTCCATGAGACAAGCATTCAGCATAAGGTTTGCACGCTTGGCCTAGGACCTGTGAAGGCACAACCGCTGTAGTCCATACCTAATGTCACCACCTTTCAGTTGTAATGCGGTATGCTCCATGACTCCTAACGATGGCTCTAAGGGTGGAGAACCCCGACGAACGCGAGCCTGCTCCTACAGGAGGTGAAGTACTGCATGGGCTACCCCAGGTACGCCAGCATGCATTCTTCGCATCACGACAAAGGAGGTGTCGTAGATTTCAGGCCCACTGGAGCGCCAGGTTGCAGACAAAATAATGGTGATCCTTTTCCCTCCGAGGGCTGCGTTGTGCTTGTTGAGGGAGCAGTTCTGACATGCCAAAGTAATGCGCTGCAAGCTGCCGTGGTGATTGGACGAGCTGATTCACCGTGAATAGTTGAACCTTTCTCGGCTTTTCTGGTCAAGTCAATGTTCGCAACTGCTTCTGTCCTGATGATGTCCGGAAGGTTCTTTGCTGTGGCGGCAATTGCATTGGCGAGGCTGTGCACGCTGAATGAGGTCTTGCCCAAGAATCAGGATCTGGCAGCTTGGGTTGGAGCAACCATGTAGCATCGACCCAACCCATTCTCCCACGTCGATGTTGAGAACATTTCAGAAGTTGTTCACGGGATTGGCAGTGTTTCTAGCTTTACGTGATCTGAGTTGCCTTCGCAGGAGATGATCGGCTGGGCGCTCCTGGCAATGTTTGCTGCCGAGATTCTGGAAGACATCATCTCCTTTGCACTTGTGTCTTGGATCCTTTCGTTAGACACTGCAGATGCAGGAGCGGCTTCCAGTGTTCCGCTTTGTTCTTCTGTGGCTATCAACTTCATGCCGTGGTTCTGCCAGCGACTTCCGTGCGCCTACTCCTCGCACTGATGTTTCCTGCTTCCTCAAGAATAGGCCCGTTGTGTCGATGTGAGCACAAGTGACACAGATGCGATGCTCTAGTTTGCTTGGTTTTCGGCCCCAACGCCTACACAATTAATTTGTCTAAGTCAATTCGGCTGCATCGTGCTTGAGAATTCCTATGCAAAAACTGCGCAGATCCAGGGAGCGGAGCATGGCATAGCAGGTTGCTGGACGTTTGTCCTCGGGAAGGGCAGGAACTGCAGAGCATTGCAGAAGACACACGTCGAAGTTTAGTGCTGTGTAGTCGAGGAAAGACTAGACCTGCGTGTGCATCCGAAGCCTCGGCAAATCACTGACGAAGAGGCCTGGTTGTGCAAGTGCAAGTGCGAGTGCCAAATTCCGTTCCAAAAAGCTGGTCGACCCTAACAATAGTCTCAAGCTTCAATGCAAAAGAGCTACAGTTCCGTCGGAGAGGCGTGTCAGTTTATTCCAGCTCAATTTCGACCAGTCCTACTGGATGTCTGCATGTTGCGCACCGCAGGTGGAAATCATGGTTGCCAACGGGACGAAAAGCTCGCACGACTCATTGTCCTTTCCATCAGGCTTCAAGGCGATTGTTCCTAAAGCTTGGCTTGACGACCAGCAAGCGGGTGTGCCCATCCCACCGGCTAACATGTCAAAGGAAATCAGAAAGCCGCTCTGCTGCTGATATCTGCTGAAGTTCGTGTTCGTGGTTTGAGCACAGTTGTAGCGATTTCGCTCGGGCTGTTGAGCAAACGCCGTGGTGATTTTCTTGAGTTCTAGGACAGGCATGTCGAGTGGCACATTACTCTTGATGGATCATGGGGCAAGGACTTGTCAGAACCATGTTCAGGAAGTGTTGGCAGCTTCGGGCGGCCTTTGACTTTGCATATGGCGACGTAGAGAACTTTGGCAAGCTGCCCTTCTGGGCTCACTTTGCAGCGATTGCCATAGCACAGTTCCACACCGTGCTGTTCATGATCATCTTGTCGAACGGATTGAACTACGTTCTGGGCTTCTGCCCCGAGTCGGGCTACTCTGGGGTCGGGCGTGCCTTGCTGTGGTGGCCTGTAACCGACCCAGAGGACTTGTGCGATGGAGGCTAGGAAGCACGAGCTTCGCGCAAGCACCCCGAACGGATGCTGATTGCATGCAGCTATTTAAACCCGTGGGCTGCGCAAGGTAGTCATATGTAGTCATATCATGCCAACCACTTCATCTTTGAAGCACATTGCTAAAGCATAGATGCTTGCGTTGCAACTCGGGTGTGGGCTGTTTTCCGCGTAGCCCCAAACACAGCGCTCAAAGCGTTTAGGTGACTCGGCACGACCAACAGGAGGCCCAGCCGAGTGGCCACCATTCTGCACATGTCACTGCAATTTTCTCCGCATGGCAACAAGGAAGTTATTCCTACATTCCTAGGTGCCAATTCCAAGAGGATGCGTAATACAGATGCTCCGAGGAGGTTTGCATACAGCTCAGGAGAATCTGGCCAACACCACCAGTCAGCACACAACGTACAAGCCGCATTTACAATCGCCATCTTTTCCGAGACTGGCTGACCCCCGTGAGACTCTGACATTCAAGCAGCTGTAACTTGCTGCACTTTTCACTCATGGTTCAAAACCATGACGCCTTGGCAGAAGCCAATGGTCTCACGGCTTTGCCGAGGCATGAGTTGAATGCAGCTTCTCGCAGCCCTGTAGGAGCTCGCACCAGCAAAACATAATCTGGGAGGCAGCACCGCTGATTTGATCAGGAATGAGGCTTTGCGTAGCGGCATGCAGGCGGCACGTCTTCGAGCACTGGTTTTGGTGTCTTTGTTTATGAGCGTAGCTTAAGTATCGAGATCGACCTCTGGAAGATTCGTATAGCCAACAACGTTGCCCTCGAAACGACCTCCGTCCGTGGCAGGCAGCTGGGACACGTGCGACTGGAATCTTCTGGCCCACCCAAGTAAGACTGGTTCACCCCAAACCTCGCCTGCATGCCGAGTGCGAGTGCTAAAAAAAGAACCTGTTTCGTGAAATTATCCGGCATGTGTCGGGACGAGCCGGAACTCACACATCGCGCTTGGAGACTCCACCAGCAAGCCTTCGGACCAGCCAGAGCAACTCATGGAAAAGCCATGTAAAGCCACAAGACTCACGCCACCCATGGTTGGGCTGTTGACTGGAGCTGCTGGGTTCCTGTCGCCGGGCGTCCTGGTCTTGCTCGGCATGTTTCCTGAGCCTGAGAGAGAAGACTTCTCGCTTCCAAAGCCCTGTCCGGGACGTTTCATATCACGGCAAACACTCATGTAAACTCATTTGCTTACAGACATTCACAGACAGTACCAGGGCCTCGCCATCCTGTACGCTGGTGACCATGTGCCTGACTTTGTCTGAGGCCCGGATTTCGGTAGTCTCAGATGTCTCCAAGGAGCGATGGCACATTGTCACGAGAGTAGCAGACTGCTGACGGACCATCAGACCCGGAGAACGAGGGACCCTCGATTCATTAAGATGCCTTCACAAGCTTGGAAACACTTCAGTGTAATCTGTGATTCCCACCAGTAGGCGCCAGTCACCCCAGCAAGCCTATGGTGGAGCTAGGACTGTTTTGCTTCGATTTCAGTGCTGTGGCGTCTGAGGTGCGATTTGCCGGAAGTTCGGGCCCAAGCTGTCTGTGGCCAGCCAGAGCGGTAAAGGTTGCGCAAGCTGGTGTGAAGTTGTCGGAGATAGGGCACCCACGTTCAAGACGTCAAGGCAGTTTGCTGCTTGTCTCCGGTGTGCTGGCAGCGCTTTGGTGCTATGCGTCGGCTGCCTACACTCACTGATGGCTCTGTCCGACACGTTCAGAGACCACAGCATGAAGACTAAACGGAACAACTTGGGCAGTCAAGGTATGTAGACAGAGCCGGGCGGCAAGGCGATTTAAGAAGGATTAGCATATGATGTCTGCATTTTTGCCGAGACACCAAACAACCGAGCGCTACCACAGGCATGCATTGCCAGTCAGAGATGGATGTCTTTGTCCGATTATGACAGCAATATTCACCTCGGCCGTTCAACTCTACATGTGGAAGCCGGGTCCTGTGCTGCTCGACGATGTCTTCAGCATCCTCAGCTCCGGTTTCAAAGATGTCAGCGCCTGCCAGTTTCACATGTCTGCAAAGGCTTTGGGCCTTCCACTTGGCCTCGGTCACGGCACCCCGCTGCCGGTCCTGCGAGGCCTTCTGATCTGAAGGAAGTTTGCTGGACAATGTGTTTTTGGTGACGGAGGTGGGCATGAAATTCACTGTTGCAGTGCAGCTGTGAGGAAGTCGAAGTCGTACATAATGGCAAACAGCAGCTGACGCACCATAGCCATAGCAGAGCACAGAAGTCATACATCGGCACGAGGACGCAGCAGCAGAGCCGCGCATATCCTTGGAGTGGTCAGCCGGGATCTCAGGCTTGCAAGGTCTTACTACACTAGTAAGGAGCTTCGTGCAGCTGAGCACATGTCAGTTCCACAAAGTCGCCGTGAAAAAATGTCAACGCAAGGCATCAGACGATTTTCCAGAGGACTTTGCTCCACTTCTGGCACTGAAGCTGGGAAGCCTGGAGATCTGCCGCTGCTGCGGAATGCAAGCTTCGGCTGGATTACAGCCATCGCACTAGATAGGGAAGCGGCAGCAAGACAGCAAGCTCGAGGACGGAGACTTTCAGAATCGCGATCTCAACATGACTGGATCTGATTAATGCAGCTTGCTATTACGCGGCGGTGCCGAGGCAGCTCCTATTTGTCGGCGAGGGCATCTCTGGTGCCAAACCCATCCTGTCTTGCATGTAGAGCTGCAGGACCTGTCGGTCGCTCGGATGGAGAACGCTATGATGTTGATCTCATGTGCCAAGTTTCACATGTCGCAGTCCCGTGCATTCTGGCCGCAGCCGCGTCAGTGGCATTAACTGCAGGCAAAGCATCAAAGTACGGGTCCAAGACCTAAGCCCGCACACATTTTCAGCTCCTATTACGTTCGTGCTGCCTGTTAGCTTGTCCCGATACAGATGCACTTCCACCGAAGCTGTAAGAAGATGTTGCTGAACACACGAATGAAGTCCATAGGATCACTGATCAAAGACACGCTCGAAAAGCAAAAGCTAAATGTGGAGTCATGCAATCGAAATGGCGGACTCGATCCAGGCTGGGACAGTCTTGAGTACCTGATCTAGGGAGAGGACTGGATGTGCTCCTTCTGCGCTTATCAGGTGTTGTTTTTGCATCCTGGGCCTCGCCCTGTCGGCACCTTGAGACTCACCTTTTGGACAGTTCCTGCGGGATTTTGGGTCTTCCGAACTCAGTTCCGTCCTGGCCTCTGGGAGCAGTGTCGCCAAGGCTTCTGAGCTTTTGGATCTCAGGGCTTGGCATGAACCTGTGGCCTTCGAGAGTGAGGCCTGGTGAGAAACGATACAGATAGGAGTCTGTTATTTTCTCTTCTATCGCCAGCACCCTCGGTACTACTTCACTGTAAACTACGACTTACTACTACTTTGTTTGCTTCTTCTACATAGTGCGAGTCTTGCTCAGAAGTGCTGTGGGTTCCGCTGACAAAACACGGCGCCAGCTATGCGGAACAGCATCGTCACTATTAGATGGGGGCCGCGGGGTCATGGCGATCGTATGCGATCCCTTCCTGCCCTTCCTCCATCCCTCCTTCCCTGCCCTCTCCTGCTCTCTCCCTTTCCCTGCCCTGCCCTTGCCCTTCTGTTCTGTGATCTTCCCTGCCCTTTCCTGCCCCTCCCTGCCCCTCCCTGCCCCTCCCTGCCCCTCCCTTCCTGCCCTGCCCTTGCCTGCCCTTCCTTTCCCAGCCCTTTTCTGGCCCTTCACCCTTCCCTGTCCCCTGCCCTTCCCTCCCTGCCCTTAGCTGCTCCCTTGCACTCTGCCCTTTTCTGCTCGCTCTTCCTGTCCCTGCCCCTTAAACCCTGCCCCGAGACGGTGACATGGCATAATGCGTCGCTTGAACAAATCACAACAGCTAATTTACATTGCCGAGATCTCGATATGCCCTCTAGTTGCACTTGCGGGCCGCATCAAGAGTGCACACCAAGAGCTCACGATTTGACTATGATGAGCTAGGATGACAACTTTTTCGAACCAAGCTTGGTATACTCTCCAACCTGCAAGCTTGGTGGACAACGACTTCTACAAGCTCAAGCTCCAGGACAACACGGACCTTGCAGATCTGCTTAGAATGCCAAGCTCCTACTGTTGTGGGGGGACGGGTGACGGTGTGACGGGAAGCTTTGTCGACTGAACTCACGTTAGCGACCTAAGACTAATTTAAGAAGTAGCACAGCAACGTGATGGAAGGTGCTTGCTTGATCTTGCTTGACATTCATGTCTCACGCTGTTGCAAAAAGAGAGGTACAGCAATGTTTCCAGCGACGAGCCAAGTGTCGCCACCTGAGAATCAAGCAGTTTTTAGATAGACGGTCTTCAGTTGTTGGAAAGACGCAGCACCACTTAGGTGCAAAGTATGCGTGCAGGAGAGCAGAATGGACTCTTTGCAACTTGGCGATCAGTAGGTTGCGTCAGTCAGATTATTACAGTGGGACCATGATGTCACTAGCACGCGCCGGTTCTGCGAGTTGCACGAACGCAGTTGAGGGGAAGTTCGCACCCCAGTTGTGCGAAACACAACTGTCACGCTTGTAAAGGTGGGTGACCCAAAGATGTCGTAGCTTACCAAAAAGGAATCATGGCCCAGGCGGTTTCTGGCGCGCTTCGCGGGGGTCTCAGCTTCTTTTCTCGCATGATCACGCATGTAGATGATGGGATTTCCGCTCTTTCGGCAGTCGCAGGCCTGGCTCATGGCGCACTCGAAGTTTTCACTTGGCTGACCGATGCGAAGGCAATGCATGGATTGATGTGTTTACAATACTTGAAAGTTAGGCATGCGCGACATTCCACGACGACACGACCTACACAGCACTGGGTCACACTTCGCTGCACTGCCTTCGCTGCAAACACGTGGAAGCATGCTGTCAGAAGTGTTTTGCACGCATGCCCTGCGTGTACAAGGGCGACCTGTCGCAAGCCCTTTCGTTCAGACTTTGTTGTGGCAGGAGAGCGAAAAGGTGTTCTCCGAGCACGTGCAGTCCTGCAACTCGCGTAGGCGAGCCTTTACTGCGGAACCCAGCCGTCAACACCTTATAGGGGCGCTGTCGCTCCGGCCTGGTGCAGGCTTCTGGCCGAGAGAGGCAGCCAGAAATTGGCCACACCCTTGGATTCTGGAGACACGCCACTGAGAGTTCGCAACTCGTGTCCAGCTGGCAAGGGTCTTTACAGGGCGCCTCAGCGGTCTTGTCTCTAGGTCGAGGTCAGCAAAACCGGCAGGACCCCAAGTTCATGCACAGGTTGATGGTGTGACTTGCACACAGGTCGAAACGAAACGGCCAAAGCCATCATTGGGTTGCGAAGTGTTAAGTCGCTGTAGTGTAGCGGATCCATTATGAGGCCGGTGTCTATGTTGTGGGATGACATCTTGAACTTCCTTATCAGTTATCGCATTATGCAGCGGTGACAGTGCTCAACATGCCTTTCCCAGAGCTGATGGAAGGCTTTGCTTGAAATCTTTGTTTTGTCCCAGGTCGCTGGCGACTGTTGGGAATTCCCTTCTCTTTCGAGACATGGCTTGCCGAATTCGGGGGTTGTGCTTTGGTGTGCATGAACGCAGCGTGACTGTGAAAGACAACGCATCCGTTGAGATGTGTATGAGCTGGTCATGTCTTCGGAAGATTGTTTCTCTTGCAACTTTCACACCGCCCATGCTCAGGAATCAACTGTCACCGTTCTTGAAGATTGGCGGGACTACAAGGCCTCACGCCGCATTACGTTCGAGTGCATTATCATGGAGCAAGGGGATAAGCGGGTTGCACTGACACAGCGCTGGCGATGCATGCCGTGTCTGCAGCAGAAACTGAGGTTATGAACGGATAGCCCACATGTCAATCTCCGACTCGCTGTGGGCTGAGGCAACCTTTCGGCAAAAGAAGCGCGGTGCGCGGCGGACCCAGGTCTTGCAGGAAGACGTTGCAGTATGCATCAATCAATTATCTTCACTTCAACTATGTATATGACATATGTTATATATATATACATATGTATGTATGTATGTATGTATGTATACACATGCTTACATGTCCGTACACATGCGTATATGTCGTCGCATGCGGTGGTCAGTGGTTCTCGTGATAAAAGCCCCAGTAGACATGGTAGAGCCAGCCAGACCAACAGAACTACTACAATGCACCAAGAATGGTAGGAGTAGTCGTCGTCGCCGTAGTTAGTGTACCGGCCGTGGTAGCGGTGACAGTAACGGTAGTAGCAAGTAGTAGTCGTCGTGGTGGTCGTCGTAGTAGTAGTGCTGGTGGTGGTGGCGCTAGTAGCAGTAGCAGTAGCAGTAGCAGCAGTAGTAGTGGCAGTAGTAGTAGTAGTAGTAGTAGTAGTAGTAGTAGTAGGCCCCCGCCCCAACCAACCAGCTCTCCTTAATCATCTTCTTGCTGGCTGGTGTGCGGATGGGGGTGTGGGGGCGAGTCAGCCATGGCCTAGAAGGAAGCGCCCACGTGATGATGTTGGTGATGCTGTTTGTTCCTCGCTTCAAGGAAGCGTGTTCTACCGCTTCTGCGGTTGAGAGTGTCCGTTCTCCTGCATACAGTTAAATAAGAGCGAGCCATGCAGGAGGCAAAAAGTTACTGCTTCGCACCCAGTCTCTTCACGTTAATGGGCTCGTTTTCCTGTTTGCCAACGGTTTATGCGGCAGGTGGTTGGTAGAGGGCGGCGGGCGTGGCTAGAAGTTGAAAGTAGCCCCTAGAAAAAGAAGAAGAACTGGTAGGGTTAGCTGCAGAAGCAGCAGTTGCAGCAGCAGGAGGAGTGGCCGTGGCAGTGGCAGTAGTACTCGTAGTGGTAGTGGCGGCAGTTGTATGCAGTAGTACTGGTGGCAGTAGTAGTAGTCGTCGTCGCAGCAGTCGCAGCAGCAGCAGCAGGAGGAGGAGGAGGAGTAGCAGTAAAAGGAGCCGAAGTAGTAGTCGTCGTAGTCGTAGTCGTAGCAGTAGTAGTATTTGTCGTCGCAGTAGTAGTAGTAGTAGTAGTAGTAGTAGTAGTCGTAGCAGCATCTGGTAGCAGATAATGGCAAGCAGCCTCAAACAGTTCTTTTGCTGGCATTCTATATGGTGTTATTGATGCCGATGCTGATTATTTGTTCCTTGCGTTTTTCCGACAGTTTCTCAGGTTTAGACTGTTCTTTTTCCTGCATACTCTTAACAGCTGGGACTGGGCTTATCAGGTTGCGGAACATAGAAGTTACTTCGTTCCCAAGGCGTTGCTTTCGGAGTGTACACTTTCCACCGTTTGTCCCACGGTTCGAGCGACAGCCAGTGGGTAGGGAGACATTGCCAGTAGCACCTGTACTGTACTGCTTATTCAATCGATGTCGAAAGCAGCAGTACCTGGCCCGTTGAGCAGACATCCCCTGAACATCAGGATGAATCACTTCTCTGGCTTCTGGCAAGTCGTCCCGGTGAGCACAGAAGAGCTTTGAGCTCAGTTCTGCGTCTCATGCCGATAGACACCACATGCCCGGGTAACAGACTGATCAGCAGTCAGTCTCATTCTTGTGTAGGACAAAGAGGGCGTAGTCATCCCAGTTGTCCGAACCGTGGGCTGCAATCATCGCTGCATTGCCTCACACATGGAACAGTCTCGTCGCCTCGGTCACGGCTACGATTGTGCAACTGCAACAAGACAAGCCGGCAACAACTGCCC